GTGCATTGCCTGAGTAGGGCATGGAGACCTTTAGAAAGAAGTCTAAGTGGATGACGCAGCCCAGGAGAACTGCCAGGCACTGCCACATTGCCTCCTCCATTGCCACTGACTGGAAGAAAGAAACGCGCCAGTGTAAATGGCCATTCACATTGGGACTTGTCCAGTACACAGTGACTAGACAAGGACCAACAAGGACTCAACTTTCAACATGAAACACAAAACCTTGCCTCTGTGGGTGTTAGATTCTCTTAAAAGGCACACAGTGGAGACTTGCAAACTGTAAGATATACTTTATGCTGCTGCTTGGTATTATTCTTACAGTATTAAGACATGGAACACTAGGATTTACAGTAATGATTTTCATCATTACTGTAAATTCATCACTGCCACAGTAACTACTATAGCTTGCAAAGGCAATGTGAAGACAAAAGCTAAAAAGCCCCTATGGGTAGTGTGATTTGACACTTGTTAGAACCATGATTTTATACCTCTAGGAAAGCACCATAAATAAGAAAAAACAATTATAAGAAAGTTTATTACATGCATTTTAGACATATAGCTTCTCCAAAAGAAATCAAGCTTTTATTTTCCTATAAACTGAGGTATAAAGAGAAAGTCATAAATAATCAACAATTCCCTCTCCCCTTGGAGTACTGGGGATTAAACTCTTTATGAGTTATAGTTTTTTTTTTTAAACAAAGTCACTGTGAATAAAGTCAGAACCATATATTCAGTTTGTAGAATTTTTGTTTGTTTGTTTTTGGGTACTAGGGATTGAATTCAGGGGCACTTAACTCCTAAGCCACACCCCCAACCCTATTTTTTATGTTTTATTTAGAGACAGGGTCTAACTGAGTTGCTTAGTGCCTCACCGTTGCTGAGGCTGGCTTTGATCCTCCTGCCTTATCCTCCCCAACTGCTGGGATTACAGGCATGTACCACCACTCCCAGCGACAATTTTAAATAGGTTTCTGGAACACAAATTTGAGATAACTGATTTCTTAACACAGAATATTTGTTGCAAACAGAATACATTTGGGGGGTAGGTACTGGGGATTGAACCCAGGGATGCTTAACCACTGAGCCACAACACAGCCCTTTTTATTGTGAGACAGGGTCTCACTAACTTGCTTAGGCCCTTGCTAAGCTGCTGAGGCTGGCTTTGAACTCAAAATCCTCCTGCCTCAGCCTCCTGAGCCACTAGGATCATAGGCATGTGGCACTTCACACAGCAGAATACATTTAAAAGCAGAAATTTATGGTAAAAAAACTTGATCCACTGAATTAAAACTACTTTAGGAAGTACTAATTCATGCTAGTACTAGTTCATGCACTAACAAAATGAATTATTTCTGGCTTGGTATTTTAGATGATCACCAAAAAGCTAAAATATATAGTGCATATCAGAGATAGCAAATATACAAAAGATGCTAATTGAGGAATTTCTAGCACAAGAGTTTCAGTATCTTGGGTGCTATAATTTATTCTCCTCTTCCATTCCCCCCCACTTTTCAGACTTATTTAAAAAATAAAAAGCCAAGTTGATTCGCTATGGTAAGATTCTTGTTTCCTTCCTCAGTATTTCTTGATTTATGGTGATAAGTTAGATGCATATTTAAAAGATCAGAGAGAAACAAAAGGGCCCAAAATTTGAGATCATATGGTGAATCTCTAGTAAATCACAACAGTGGACTAAGTATGCTTCATATTTTCACTATTGGTTCCTATATGAAACAAAGAACTGTTAATCTGACTCCAACAGTAAACATTTCCTTTTTATTTTTATTTTTTTACTTTTTTTTTAATATTTATTTTTCGATAGTAGTTGGACACAATACCTTTATTCTATTTATTTATTTGTGTTGTGCTGAGGATCGAACCCAGGGCCTCGCACGTGCTAGGTGAGCGTTCTAACACTGAGCCACAACCCCAGCCCCAACATTTCCTTTTTAAATAAAGACTTGAGAATTTCTATCCTTGCTTATCAGATCTTCTATAGGGAAGGTGGAAGTATAATGCTTCCTGAATTGAAGAAAATGGAAGAAATCCTCAAACAAAAAAATGAGTGTGAACTAGACATTCTGGAGGAAAGGACTAAATCAGATCATATATATATATGGCAGAATAATAAAATATACTTAGTTTCATAAACTTTCGTTAGAGAAACTAAATACTAAACATACTTCTCAATCTGTCTTATACTTCAGAATGAGGGATAAATAAGGGTACAAATGTTCCCCATATAATTTTATACCTAAGAAGCTGGACATGATTTTGTGCATGAAAGCAGTTGTGTATGTGTGTGTGTGTGTGTGTGTGTGTGTGTGTGTATTGGGGAGGGGAGTATTGGTTCCTCAATTGTGAAGCCAACAATTTCAAGTAGGTTTAGTGTCTTGGTCAACTAATTAAAATGCTTTGTACTAACCTGCATCAAATGAATTACATTTTCTTCTTCCATGTGAACATTATTTATGAATATGAAATACAACTGCCAAGAGCCAATTTCTTTTCTATACTCTCTAGCTGGTTTCCTTTTAGGAAAAAAAGATTTAAAATACAGCAGATCTACACCATCAGGCTAGCTGCAGGAAATTAACTTCTCTCTGGGCAAGGCAGAAATAAAGTTCTGCATCATTTAGTGCTCTGTAAGGACTGCTATATCAAGAGAGATATCCAACAAATCCCAGAAGTCAGGCTACTAGCTCTTCCTGCTCTATCTCATCATATAAAAATTATAGTTGCTAATGAATACATGCTCTAAGGTCAGAAAAAATGCTTCACATTTTCCAGTGTGATTATAACAAAGAAAAGTAGGCAAGAAGACCCCTGATAAACTAAATGTTAACTCAGTCTCTGAGTGGTCACAATCAAATTATAAATCTTTTGATTATTTGATTTAATTGCTTCTGTTTTAGTTTCAGAGGAATTCTAAAAATAATAACCATAAGACAACATATTACATTCAGTAAGTTTTCTAAATGAGTGTTAATGGCAAAACAATATAGTTATATTGGCTTGTGACTTTTTTACTCACTAGATTAAATTTAAATAGAAAATTAACTTAATCATTAAACTAAAAGAAATCTATATTAAGGCAAAAATCTTAATTAATGAGTTCAAAAGATAGCTGACTACTTCACAGATTGTATTCCAAGAGATTATTAAAAAACAGTATAAAATTGCAACTGAGGACGTGGCTCAGTGGCTAAGCACCCCTGGGTTCAATCCAAGGCACCAAAAAAAAGAAAGAAAGAAAGAAAGTAGGGCTGGGATTGTAGCTCAGTGATAGAGTGCTTGCCTAGCATGTGTGAGGCCCTGGGTTCAATCCCTAGAACCCATATGTGAGGATGTTGATTGTACTTAGAGATGGAGAACTTACAGCTGCACTTTCAATACTTATATGCCACACTTAAATCACATACATACAAATATAAAATACAGATAATACATACACCGCCACAACATAAGCATAAAAGCAAAGTGAAGAAAAATACTAGGTTGGCTAAATATTTTTCCTAAAAAAAAATTGTGCTGTTTCTATGAACAGTACATTCTGGGAATTGAACAACTGAGCAAAGTTCATTACCTAATGCTCCAAAAAACAGCACAAACACCTCAAATTTAGATGTCTAGACAATCTGGTCTAATCTTTCAATCCAGACGTAAACTAAAAATCTCAAATATGCTTTATAATTTTTTTAATTTTTAATTTTTTTGGTTTAGAAATAAAGAATAGGAATTTTACTTCCTAGTTTCAAAAGCTAAAATGGCCAGAAACAAGTTTATAAAGAATTTTAAGTTAGAAAAGAAAAACAAATATTTTGAAAGAAAAAAAAAGGTATCACATCCAATTTCTAAAAGAACATAGCAGTTAAAAACTCTAATAGCTTACTTAAATTTAAAATAACATATAGTAATTATTTAAAAGAGATGAGCTTGTTGGACAAGCTTCCTGGGGGCTGACCCAGGAAGATTGCAAGTTCAAAGCCCCCCTCAGCAATAATTTAGTGAGGCCCTAAGCAACTTAGCTAGACTGTCTCAAAATAAAAAACAAAAAGGGCTGAGGATGTGGCTCAGTGGCTAAGCAACCCTGGGTTCAATCCAAGGCACCAAAAAAAAAAAAAAAAAAAGAAAGAAAAGAAAGTGGGGCTGGGATTGTAGCTCAGTGATAGAGTGCTTGCCTAGCATGTGTGAGGCCCTGGGTTCAATCCCTAGAACCACATAAAAATAAATAAACAAAATAAAGGTATTATGTTCATCTACAACTAAAAATACTAAAGAAAAAGAAAAAAAAAAAGAAGAAGAGAAAATTAGCTGTTTCCATTCTGGATTTCTTGTAAGAGTTAACATTCTTAGGATGATAAAGTTGTGAGGTTAAACTGAAAGCAATCAGAAAGAACCTGTGATCTTTACTATTTTATGTTCCCTCAGAGCTCAGGCATTTTTCTAAGTTTTCCTGTGCAAATGTGACAAAAACATACACCACTTCTGCCACAAAAGAAAAGCAATTAGTGCACTAAACAATAAAAATTTAGAATGTGAGGGAACAAAATGACTACTTATTTAAGCACAATCTTAAAGGCAAGAAGTGGCAGAAAAATTCTCAGTTTTAAGAGGAAAAACAATCCCTCTGAGCAGTATGCAAAGAACACAAGAAAGAGGAAGCTTGAGGGCCTGGTTTCTGAAATTCCACTTGATATGGCTATGAACAGGCAAAAAGATGAAAATGTATACAAAACAATTCAGGTTGAAAACAGACATAATGCTGGGGCCACTCACTGATCCAGAATTTATAAATGCCAAATTCATTTTTATATCTCAAGGAAGAAAAATGCAATTTAGATGGTATAATGCTCATCCATAAATGTGAAGGCTTTCACCAAGGTTGAAACGCCAGTTCAATACATTTTTCTGCCTGGGATTCCACATCAACTAATCAGCTGGACAGTTAGGAAAATGAAAGGGTAAGACATACATGTAGGCACACAGAGAACAGTTACCTTCAGCTGGTTATTGAAAATATCAATCTCCTGCAGTTTTGACCTAGTTTCTTTCTCCACCTCATCCAGTTGGTCTCGTAGCTGCTGCCGAGCTAGTTCTTTTGCTTCTAAGGCTCTTTTGAGTGTAAGAAGTGAATCTCCTATTTTAGAGAAACAGTGAGAGACAGGAAAAACTTTAATTGGCAGTGAGGGAAATGTTTTTTAACATTTTCATGTCACTTGAGAAAATTCTTGCTGTCTGTAAAAAAGAAAAAGGTTGTGGCTGGGGTGCAGCTCGGCAGTAGAGCCCATAGAGCTGTGCTTGGCACGCATGAGGTGAGGCCCTAGGTTTAATCCCCAGCATATTTAAAACGAAAGAGGGAGAAAAGGAGGGAGAAGGAGAGAGAAAGGAATTAAAGGAGAGGGAGGGAAAAAGCCAACTTTAAAATTCTGGGGCTGGGGTTGCAGCTCAGTGGCAGAGCTCCTGCCTAACATGTGTGAGGCACTGGCCTCGATATAAATATACATAAATTTTAAAAACTAAAGGTACATCCACAACTAAAAATTATTAAAATAAATAAATAAAATACCTACTGTGCAAACTATTCTGCTGAACTTGTTTTAATTGGTCGTTAAGTATCTGTTTTTCTGGAATAAGTCTTCCAAGCATTTGCTGAGATTCCTAGGGGAGGAGGAGAAAAACAACGGTGAATGACAGGGAACACTCTGATGTCCACACGCAGAATTAGTGCCTAAGTCAGTTTTCTTGACCCTCAGAGATACTCCTGAATGGCTTGAATAGCAGAGAGGTTAGTCAGCTCTTCCCAAGTCCTTATGGTGAACCACATTTAACTGCTAGTCAGGGTGACTCTTGCTTTCTTGCCAAGGAATAAACTGTTTGCCAAGTGTTTTTTTCACTAAAATAAAGTTAAGACAGTTATAGCTTCCTTGGTATTGCTTACATTCTTGTTGTCTCACTGGACATTTATAAGCTTTTAAAGATAGCACTTCAAAAACACTGTGCACACAGAAAACAGAAGTGAGGATCTCTCAATTGCACGGAGATCAAGTATAAATACAGTGGCCCAATTGCTTGTAAACTAATTTGGTAGGAATTACTCTGTTATTATAATCTGAGCTTTAATACTTAATAGGGCAGAATTTAGGTTTATGATATACCTGAAGTTGGGAACAAAACAGATTTTTAACCACTAGAATCTTAACTGCTTCAAATGTGCATGTTTTTCTGTCACAAAGAATGGAACTTTAAACAGGTACATAAAAGTCTTGAACCACCTTTATTTTAACTGACACAATGAAAAAAACTAAAACCATACTGTACAAATGCTATTTGGAATTTTTTTTGTGGGGTTACCAAGCACAGTATTTGCTTAAGTTCAGTTGTAAGTATCCTCTATAGTTTCTACACACTTCAGTAAAATGGTAGGCTTTTCAGATATAAGAGGCACCATGGCTACACCTGTGATCCCAAAAACTAGGAGGCTGAGGCAGGAGGATCCCAAGTTTGAGGCTAGCCTCAGCAACCAAGTGAAACCCTGTCTCAAAAATGGGGAAAAAACAAACAAACAAACAAACAAACGTGGGAATGTAGCTTAGCAGTACTGTGTCCCTGGGTTCAATCCCCAATATCAAAAACAACACAACATGAAACAATACAACAGATATATAGGGAATATTTGACTTTTATTTTTACCTTTATAAAAAAGTGAACTCTAAGTATTGACTTTTGGCTTGAAAATATAAAAGTGCCATAATTAAAAATGTTCAGAGCTGGGGATGTGGCTCAAGTGCTAGCGTGCTCGCCTAGCATGCATGAGGCACTGGATTCAATTCTCAGCACCAAGTAAAAATAAAATAAAGATATTGTGTCCACCTAAAACTAAAAATAAATATTTAAAAGATTGTTTTTCAGATCCAGCACATGAGTTTAAGACTTCCCTGAGAAACAGAAAGACCATGTCTCAAAAAATCATCAGAGGCCAAGAACCTCTCTTTTGGAACATCCACCTTTAGGTACAGACTAGCCTATGTGGAAAAAAACCTTCATATACTATTGGCCCATATGGCAAAGATATCAGCTCAACAGAGGATTTAGAAGCCTCCTTTTCTATAAATAACCCCCAACACACACACACACACACACACACACGAAAACTTCATAGAACAGAATATATAAACCAGTCATTTTCTCAAAAAAAGCAAAACCAACTGAGTTTTCCCTTTTATTCTCCTTCCTATTTCCCAATCCCAAAGTTTCTTTTCTGAACTAAGACAAAGAAATATCAAGACAAAACCTAACTCATATCACTGAGATTGTTTTACTTATATAAACATTACTTTAAGGTGTATAACCTAAGTTTATAAAGTAGGTCAAACCAATATTAAGGGATACCCAACTCATTTGCAAAGTTAAGTATCTGCTAATCCATGAAAGGAAAGTGAACCAATATCTCCTTGCCTGCTATGTCCCTTTATTTCTTCTAATTAGGTATTATTTTCCCATTCACTACTTTAAGAATCCTGACTTTTATTTATTATCAATAACTGAATATTCTAAACATCAGTCATAAATAATAAGTGTGTTTGTTCACACAACATTCTGTGATAAATTGATACTGAAACTAAACACAAGACCTTTAACTCTAAATTTTCCAGGGGACTATCTTATGAAACTTTTCATCAATAGTTAATGAAAGACATATAAACAGAGTTAATTAGCATTTAGAAGGTAACCAATATCTTTCATGAATTTAAATGAAAAGATCCTTAATAAACAAGAGCAAGTTGAATATTCTAAAATATTCTATGGCCAAGTGTGGTGTACCCCAGCAATGGAGGTTGGTTTTACATTCAAATTGCAATCAACATAAATCTTCATCTAAACAGAGTAGAAGAGAAAAAAACACCACACAATCATCTCCATAGATGCCCAAAACAAAAACAAACATGGCCTGATGTAATATCTATTCAAGATCAAGTAGCAATAAACAGAAGGCAAGTCCTTCACCTGATGAAGGGCATCTATAGAAAACCTAGTTACCCTTCCTTATTTGTGACAGAGTTTTCCTTCTAAGACCCAGAATAATGTTCTTAGCACTTCTCTTCAACATAGTTCTGGATGTCCTGGTCAACTAAGTAAGGCAAAAAAAAAAAAAAAATCACATTTAAATTTATGAAGGATATTGAGGATGTTGGTTTTATCCTTGTCTGGTTTTGGTATCAGGGTAATGCTGAGCTCAGAAAATGTTAGAGAATATTCCTTCCTCTTCTATTTTAAAATGTTTATGTTGAAATGATATCTCTTCTTTAATTTTTGGTGACATTTATCAGTGAGGCCTTCTAGGTCTAGGGTTTTCTTTGTGGTAGGATATTTAACAGTAAATTTACTTAATAGATATATAAATATTCAGGTTTTTTTGTTTCTTCTTCACTGTATTTTGATAATTTGTATATTTCAGTGAATTTATTTTATCAAAATTATTAGACTTATTTACATAGTTGTTTATAGATATAAAAGGCATACAGTTTAGAAAATGAAAAATAAAGCTGTCTTTTTTCAAGCATGGCAAGTTTATATAGCCAAAAACCCCTAAAGAATCTACAAAACATTCTTTTAGAAATAAGATACAGGAAGCCAGGAACAGTGGTGCATACCTGTAATTGCAGCAACTCATGAGGCTGAAGCAGGAGAATAACAAGTTCAAAGCCAGCAGATTAATTAGCAAGGCACTTAGTAACTCAGTGAGACCCTGTCTCTAAATAAAATATAGAAAAGGTCTAGGGATGTGGCTCAGTGGTCGAGTGCTCCTGGGCTCAATCCCCAGGTACCAAAAAAAAAAAAGAAAGAAAGAAATAAGACACTGGAGCTGGGGATATAGCTCAGTGGTTGAGCACTTGCTTGCCTAGCATATGTGCAATCCTGGGTTCCATCCCCAGCACCGCAAAAAAGAAAAACAAACCCTGAGAAATTAGCTAAACAATAACACAGAAAAGAAAAAAAAAAACACACACAGAAAAATAACTATAAAAAATAAATTCTATTTTTATATACTGACATCATATAGTTGGAAACTGAAATAAAAAATAGGCAATATACAATTGCATTGACCACAGAATACTTAAGGAAAACTTTTAAAAACACATATAAAACTACAAAAATATGAAAACTACAAAAATATGCTGAAAGAAATTTACAACCACCTAAATAAATTGAGAGATAATCTATAAAACTCAATATCGTTAAATGTCAAATCTTCCTGAAATGATCAATAAATTCAAAGGAATTGCAACAATGTTCTACAAAAATTTTTTTAGTTCTAGGTATTTTTGAAGGAAAAAAAAAACAAATAAAACTGACATGCTAATTCTGTAATTTTTATGGAAATGACTTAGAATAGCCAAAATTTTTTTTTCAAAAAGAATAACAATAACAGGGTACTCAAACTTGATTTCAAAAACCAGAATAAGGCTATAGTTATCCATGGAGTAAGGTGATGGTGAAAGGATAGATACAGATTAAAGGAAGAGTTCAGAACAGACCTTTTATAAATATATGCAACTGCTTTTCCACAAGCTACCATGGAAATTTAATGGGAAAGCCAAGTGTTTTCAATAAATGGCACTTGGTATATACGGAGAAAAATGAACATCAACTTCTAACTTAGGACCATATGCAAAAACCAACGTGAAATGGATTATAGACCTAAATATGTAAAACATAAAACTTTTGAAGGAAAACAGAAGAAAATGTTGCAGTCATGGGGCAAAGATTTCTTAGAACACAAAAAGCATGATCATACAAATAAATTAACAAACTAAACCTTATCAAAATTTAAAACTTCTGTCCTTTAAAAAATAGTATTATGAAAATGAGAAGCAAACCAAAAGTTGGGAGAAAATATCTGCAGATCATGTATCTGACAAATGACTTGTTGACAAAAATTTATATATAAGTCTTACAATTCAATAGTAAGGAAAACAACTCAACCAAAAACGGACAGGCAAGTTCAGATAGTTTGAAGATACACAAATGATACCATGCAACATGTAAAACGATGACCAACATCATCAGTCTTCATGGAAATGCATATACAAGAAAAAATGAAATATATTTGCTGCATACCTACCAGAAAAGTCAAACTTTAAAATAATGACAACACCAAGTATTGGTAAGGATGAGAAACCATTGTATCACTCACAGATTGCTGATTAGAATGTGAAGAGGTACAAATAATTTCTACCATTGACAGTTTTGTGGTAGGGGGGTTTAAAGATAAGACTTATACGGCACAATTACACTCCAAAAAAATTGCCTTGGAGAAATAAGTTATAATTCCACAAAAATACTATACATAAATATTCATTGTAGTTTTAGTTATGAAAATCCCCAATTAGAAAGAACCCAGATATTAATCAACAGGTGAAGGGATTAGTAAATATTACTCAGTGATAAAATGAAACAACGTACTTATTCACTCAACAACATTGAAAAATCAATCTTGAAATCATCATGCTGAGAAAAAGAAGTGAAAGAGTCACTGTGGTCAAATATGATGATCTGCAGGTAATATCTGCATGAATTTGATGCCCCTGTAGTTCAATGCTTGATACCAAACTAGGTGAGATAACAGTTCAATCATACCAGGTGAGATAATAGATGAGAGGTAAATGAAGGCAAAATTGCCACTAGCACACTATCAAGTCTCAAGTCTTACCCTACACATCTTTCTTACATCCCACTAAAATCTTAATTGCACCTATTTACTAGTCTTGTATGGTCTGGCCTCCACCTGGCATCCCAGAAGCCTGCTACAGCCTCAGGTCACTGGTGGCACTGCTGTATCCCTACCTAAAACTTGTTCTGCCATAGTTTAGTCCATCACAGACTTCAAATCTGTGCAAATGTCACCTTCACAAAAGGCCTACCCTGACTACCTTAGTTTAAATCACAACAATGCTAACCACCAGGACTCTCTACTGCCTTCCCTTCTACTTGGCACTTTTCATTTTCTCATAGATACAAACTTTATAGTTCTGTTAGTATGTGTCCCTCTTGCATACAGAGGGTAAGGTCCATTCAGCTCACTCTCGGTGTCATTTCCATTGCTCAACACTATAGCCTCAGTACCTAAAAAACAGCCCAGCACCTAATAGTGTGTAGCAAACACTTGTTGAGTTTGTTTACTTGACAGTTGACTTTTAAGAAAAGGACCCCACCCTCTTCACCTTTTTTCCCCAGAAATCGAGTATATGGTAGATGCTTACTGTTTGTTGAATGAATAAATAAATAAAATGAATCAGAGGCAAGCACGTAAGCCTAAAATCTTTTGTGATACATTGTTTTCTTACCTGTAACTGTTGCTGCAAATGGGTGATTTCAGCAATTCTCAACTCTCTAGATTTGTTTGTACTCTCAATTTCTTGCCTTTGGGTGGTTAATCGACATCTGATATCTTGAAGTTTTCCTTCTAATTGATGCTTTTTATCATTCTTTAACAAATGAAAGATAAAAGGAATTATTACCATTTTTAATGGTTCAATGGTAGTATATATCCAAAGCATGATCAAATATCACTCACTAGAGCTTCTAATTCAAATTCCAAAGTCTTTTTCTTTGCTTTCAATACAACTATGTCCTCTTGTTCTTTATTTCTTTGATTTAAAAGTTCTTGCCTTCGGTTCCGTTCCCATTCAAGTTGTCGTTGTCTCTCAAGTTCCCGTTTCGCAGCCTGTCAAAGTCACAGTTTATTAATTTTTCAGTTCTTATGCTCTAACATGTCTCTTAACAAAAGTATCATGTAGTAAGTCTTTCCTTTTAAGGATGAAATATAGACATTACAAGAAATCATATCATAAAGCAATAAAAATTTTTATAAAAATCAGTGCTCCTTCTAAGGAAAAAAAGGGAATATTCAGAACTAATTATATTTACATAAGATGACAACCAACAGGATCATTTCACATTGGAATCTCATTCTTCATGCCTTCCAGAATGCATGATATACTAAATAAAAGTGCTCCTTTTTATTTACAGACTCACAAATAGGAAGGAAAATTTCTTTAGTAAAATCAAGTTTAAATCTAAACAATTCTAAATCTAAATCAATCTTAAATCTAAGAACTAAAACAAACAAAACTTGTTTTTTTCCCAACAAGAGAAACTATTATTTACAGTTAAGCTTTCCTTATCCAGAATGCTGGGACCACAAGTGTTTCTGGTCTCAGCAGTTTTCAGTTTTGGAATATTTGTATAGATTTTGCTGTTGGTAGTGTGACTGCCTCTTACTCAGCAAGCTCCCAATCACACTGCAAAGTCCCGGAGGCCAAGTGGCACATCTAGTCATCACTGAAACTCCAGGGGCTAGCAATGCATAGCAATAGTAAATTTGTCTACTAAACAATTCTGGATAAATACTTTAAAAAAGGAAGGTAGTATGCCTTTCCATTGTCCATTCTGGTAACTGAAATCTTTTGGGGTGGAGAGTGGAATGCATGGTTGGCCTGTGCAATGCATAGGCTTCAATCTCCAATACCAAATAGATAAATATCTAAAATTTGTTAGCATCTGTGTGTATTTGCTTGAACAAAAGGCAGCTATGGCTACATACTGTCTAGAGCAATCAGCAGGAGATGAAACCAAAGTATTTTTTTAATAAAGAAAAATTCCTCATCTTTATATTTCATTCATGTGAAAAGAATCATAGCTTTGCTTCTGTAGTAATATAGTAAAATTGTGAAGTTGAACAAGAGATTGACTTGGTCCCTTTCCAGATCTGACACCATAGAATATATGAAGATTTCCCAGACATATTTTTAGGGAGGCAGGGGAACAGTCTCAAAACAATACAATGGCTTTGATAACATCAAGTGGTTTAAAATTATACAACCTCCACCCATGCCACCACATAAATCTTTACATTTTTATATAAATGTGTAAATACAGAGAAAAGAATCTGGAAAAACACCTAACTGCTCTCTTAGTTTGTTATAAGACAGTGCAATAAAAAAACTTATAGAAGAATGTTGATATTAGCATTTGTAATAGCTAAAAAAAACTCAAAAGTTCATCAACTTATGAGTAGATAAATGAAACATAGTATATCTATAAAACAGAATACTACTCAGCCATAAAAAAGGATAAAATACTGATTCATGCTAAAATATGGATGAACCTTGAAAATGCTAGGCAAAGTGAAATCTAGACACAAAAGGCCACATACTGTACAACTTCCAGAACAGGTAAATCTAGAGAGATAAGGAAGTGGTTGCAGGGGCTGGGGGCAAAGAGGAATGGATAATTACTCCTTAGTGTAAGGGGTTTCTTTTTGGGATGATGAAAATGCTCCAGAATAGAGAGTGTGATGGTTGTGTAACTTTTGAATACACTACAATCTCCAGATTATTAAAAGGAAAAACAACAGCCTAGTGGGGCGGTTACATGCTTGTAATCCCAGCTACTCAGGGGACTGAGGCAAGAGGATCACAAATTCAAAGTTGGCCTATCTGGGCAACTTAATGAGACTCTGTCTCAAAAAAAAAAAAAAAAACAGAAAGAGAGCTGGGTTGTGGCTCAGCAGTAGACTGCTTGCCTAGCATGCGAGAGGCCCTGGGTTTGATCCTCAGCAACACATAAAAATAAATAAAATAAAGATATTGTGTCCAACTACAACTAAAATATAAATATTAAAAAAAAAAAAGGAAGAAAGAAGGGTTGGGGACGTGGAATAGTGGTAGAACACTTACCTAGCATTTATGAGGCCCAGTGTTTAATACACACAAAAATTAAAAATTAAAAAGGAAAACAGACTGCCCTACATTAATACATCATTTGAATAATTCTACAAGAGAAAGACAAAGCTCATGTGTTTATTACAAGGTTGTCCACGCTGCTTACCTCTCGCCTCTCAATCTCTTTCCTCCTCTCCTCCTCTCTCTGCCGTTCCAGTTCCCGTTGCTTTTCCAGTTGCTTCTCCAGCTCCAGTTGTCTTTTGCGCTCTTGCTCCTGGCGCTCCCGCTCTTTCCTCTCCTGCTCGGCCCGTTCCAGCTGAGCCAAGCGTTCTTGCTCTTTGCGCTGCTGTTCCAAGAGAGCTTGTCTGCGTTTCTCCAGTTCTAGATTGCCACGTTCAAAATTTTCCCGCTTCTTATCTTCAAATGTTACTTTAAAAGAAAGAACAGATCAATTAAGAAAAGCCATTATTTTCAAAGAAAAAATGTATTAGCATTTTGAAATCTACAGTACAAACCCAAATCCAGAACTCCCTAAGTTTCCTTACTGGGCCCTTGTAGTGAGCACTACAAACAGGAAACAGAAAGGTTAGGGAAGAGTTGCCCCTAACCTTTGTACTACCATCCGTGCCACACACTATTTCTACAAAAATCTTTCAATAATTCTGTATTTATACCCAATTCCTCTCCTCTCCTGCTACTCTACCCTTTCCCTTCTTCATGCCCTGCTTCAGCAAGTGACCCACCATCTCTTCTGCATCATGAGTCTCTCCTTCACCTTAGCTTATAACTGCACTGTCTGTCTCCTGTTTGAACAAGGTGACTTCTCAAATCAGGGGTAGAGAACAAGTATTGCATGGTTCACACTGAAGAAGCTGCTCTGCCCAGATTCTTAAATGGACCACAGTCAGTAAATATTTTTTTCTAATCCATTATTTTGTTTCCTTCTTTGACACACTTCTATAAATTTTTAATTCCATCATTTTTCTCTTATCCTTTTTACACCTTTGTTTTCATCTATTTTATTTTATTTACTTCTAAATATTCCATCCCCTTCCTGTTTCCAGCAGTGTGTATTCACCTTTGTGTTGCCTCCTATACATCTCCTTGGTATCCACCCCAGACAAGGGAAACTCTCAAGGCTGGGAAAGTGGCTAGGTGGTAGAGTTCTAGCCTAGCATGAGATCACATTTGGTGATTTCAGAGGTGGCACTATCTTCTTTACTCGGCCACCTTAAAACTTCAAGTCCCTTCACTCAGGGAATGAGTCAATGATCCTTACAAAGGAATCTCTGCTAAGTGAAAGAAGCCAGGTACAAAAGGTCAAATATTATATGATTCCAATTATATGAACTACCTACCATTGTTAAATCCAAAGAAACTGAAAGCAGATTGGTGGCTGTCCGGGGCTGGGGTGAATGAGAATGGAGAGTGAGTGAGTAGGGTATTTTCTTTTGGAAGAAGAGAGGGGTGGTGTTTATACAACTGAGAGTAATAAACACCATTATTATAGAATAAATGTACAGCCCCTACCACACACCCAAATTCATGTTACAGCCTTAACTACACCAATGTGATGGTATTTGGAAACATCTTTGGGGATAATTAGGGTTAGATTAGATCATAGGGGTGGGGCCCCATGATGAGATTAGTGACCTTATAAAAAGAGAAAGAAAAAGAAGGTCACTCCCCCACACCCATGCATACACCAAGGAAAAGCCATAGGAGGACACAGCGAGTAAACAGCTATCTACAAGAGTGCTCTCACCAGGAACTAAACTGCCTGGGCTCTGATCTTGAACTTTTAGCCTTTAGCACATGAGAAATAAATCTCCACAGTTTTAGCCTCACACTGTATGATGTTTTGGAGTGGTGGGCCAAGGTGAAAAGCCACTAGATTATACAGTTTAAAATGTTCAATTTGGGGGCTGTGGCTGTAGCTCAGTGGCAGAGCGCTTGCCTAGCATGTGTGTGGTAGTGGGTTTGATCCTTAGCACCACATATAAAGAAACAAAATAAAGGCATGCTGTTCATCTACAACTACAATTTTTTTTTTTAAAGATGCTCAATTTTATAGTATGCATATTTCATCTCAATTTTAAAAACACTGAAAATCTTTATACATCTTTTTTATTTAGTGTCTGGCACTATTCCTAGTATATAGGAGGCACATCATAAATGGTTGTGGAAAGAATCAATGCAAAAAAAAAAAAATACTCAATGTCACATCCTGTTCAAAATCCAAAATGAATGCTTACTACTAATAGAAAAAGAAAATTCCAAATTCTAAGAATTCCTGTCCTTATCCCATTGAGGATTCATTTTCATTGTTTTCAAAAGTTGACATGTTCCTCACATCCACTTGTAGTGACCCTATTTATCCTCAGGTTTTCACTTAACTGTGATCTAGACCATGGGGATTTAATTCCTCATGTCCTTTTCAGTATACCACAACCAACCATAAGTAGCTTTGCTGTGCATCTACAAACTCTCCAGGACCTTATCACACTTATGTACTTACTGTTTTAGCAATTGTTTATATGGATAACTTAAATTTTCTAATGTAAGTTTCTAGAGAGTATGGACCATGTATGATTAGCATTTAGATTCTTCCAGCCTTGCACACAGAAAAACTATAATAAGTATTTCATCACTGAACATAAGTGAAAAGTTATTTAGTTTACAGAACAGTCTGGAAGAGCTTGTGTTCTCAGCAAACTAATTAATGGTTGTGGAATGCTGAGCACTTTACTGCAGCAAAATGATATTGACAAAGTATTTAATATAAAGAGACTTCATAGCAAATTTCAATTGCCTCTTAGTATCATTATCATCTCATCATTAATAATTCATAGCCAACTTGGACTTTTTTAGTAGTATGATAGATTTACCATTGTAAATGAGGATTATTTAAAACAGGTTCACATTAAATTTAAAGTGGGTTCCTGCTGCTAAGGAGTTTCTAATTCTTCTGTAACACATCAAGAATGCTATAGTAGTCGACTTTATTTTTTGCTTCTGCACTGGCGGTCCTAAGAAACCATCTAACCGCAAATTTTTAGTGTTCTATATTCCATAGATAACATTAATAAAATCTTTGTTTAGCAGTATATAATAATACTTTAAGTTAAAAACTAGAATAAGGGGACTCGGCATATAGCTCAGTTGATAGAGTGCTTGCCTCCACGTACAAGGCCCTGGGTTCAATCCCCAGCACCACCAAAAAACAAAAAAAAATCCAACTAGAATAAGGATGCACTAGCAAAGTACACATGTTCTTATTTCTCTACACAGATCCAAATCTAAAAGCACATTAAACGTCTTTTTCTGATATGCTCAAAGAAATACAGAAATGTCAGAAGCTAGATTTATTTTTACTTCCATTATGCTTTACAGATAGAAAATCTTTAATCTGATGTGTAAGCCAAATGTAAAGGCTGCCTTACCAGGTAATTTCTTTTCTAATTGTTGCTGTTCATCTTCTAAAGCTGGTTCCTCTGGTAACCTCTGATCTACAGATGTTGAGCTTATAACAGATATTCCACTGCCTGATCGAACTCTTCTGCAATTATGAAAAAAAAAGAAGAAAAAAGAAAAGAAACAGATCCACATAAAATGAGGTAGGTAGAAACAAGCTACGAAAAAGAATTTTTAGATTATACCATACCATGGAACAAATTTCATTTACAGTGAGGAAAGACAGAGTTTGGACTTCTTTACTCTGTAGTTTTTAAAATGAATATTTGAATGTCATCAGATTCTGAGTGTTACCTTATTCAAAATGTTGGGAATGAGGGTGTGGCTCAGTGGTAGAGCACATGCTTTCCATGTGCAAGGTCCTAGGTTTGATCCCCTGAACCCCCCACCCCAACTCCTGGCAAGGGAAAAAAAACATAAAAATTAGGACAATTCAAAAGGGCTAAATTAGCTTATAATCATAAAGTATCTGGTAAACAGTGAGCACCCAGTGAGTCTGATGCTACTACCATTACCTTTGTGAGTAACTTTCAATCCCTTCCAGGAAAGATCAGCAGCTCAGTGATTTGGGAGCAACTGTTTTCCTTATACAAAAATTTCTCCATTTAATCACTTCCTGAACACACGAAATGTCTGTATTTTATAGTTTTGAAATACCCTTACTTTACTGATCAGTATCACTATGTTTAAACTTGCTCTTTCAAAACAATCTCCCCATCCTTCTTTTTACACTTTCAATAGTTTCCAATGTTCAATTTCTCCTGTAGTGAACCCTGCAGCTGTGAGATTTTATAGGCAAATGCTTCTTCAGCTGCCCCTTGCTTCTTCTGCACTCAGTTTCTCAGCTTGCTCCTGCATGAGGACAGTGTGGACAGTGATGGCTATTTATCCTCACAAGTCTTTCCTGAAGCTTGAGGACCCAGAACAGAAGTATGTCTTTGTTTCTCTTCTTCTTTGCGCTTGTGGGATCTCATATTCATCTTCTACATGTAAAGCCATGAGTTGGAGCTGTATTGGATGCTATGTGTGTATGCATGTAGGCATGCCAGTGGGGTCCCAACTAGACCCTGGGGGACACTCTTGACATGTCGACTGAGACTATTTCAGACAAAGATAATTTTCTTTAATTATCTTTCTGATTGTAATTTCTGAATTGCTAGCATTTTTTGTTATCTGTGGAATGTGTATAATACACACCTTGCTTTATTTCCTATATATGGGCTTATTCAGTTTTCAATTATATAAGTTCATACAAAAATCTTTTAATGTTTTATTTGATTGCATTTACTAATATACTACAAATACCCTGTAGAACAGAAAGGCCCAGAATTAAGACAGAACCTGGACTGGAAGATTCTCTTGAATTCACAGATATTTCATTTACTTGCCAAGAATGGAAATCACTATAAGATGGTCAACAAAGCCAATTTGGAATTAACATACTCAATGCAATGCATAATTCCTTACAAAAGCCAAATGTTCCTTACCTAAAGGAAGGTGGAATGTATTCTGGAGGCAGGACAGGTGGCAGTGGTTGGCCAGACATAGCAACATCAATTAGGTGCATAGCCAGGATAAATTCTTCTGCTGTGAGTTTTCCATCTTGATCAATGTCAGAAAGATTCCTAATTCAACAAAAAAGTTTCATTTCCAGTTTCATAAAAATGCATGCATTGCTGATTTATTTTAGTTCTGTATTATAATTCTTATTCTAGGCCAATTGAGTCTACCTGCCTCAGTTTACAATTATTTCATACCATTACAAGAATAAAATGAAATATTTTGTATAGTTAGGATAGTGTTCAGTACTCAACAAATGCTAAGATTGCAATAATACTCTTCTCAGTCCTGGGAATGTGACCTATTTAAAATATGTCACATTCAGGGTGAGGTAGCCAATACTGTATGGTTTGTAAGATAATCTCTATCATGCTGAATTCTGCCCTTGCAGCAGCCATAGACAATATATAAATAAACAGGTATGGCTGTTTTAACAATAAAAATTCATTTACAAAAACAGGTGAAGGCCAGATGTGGCCTACTGGATAGGCTGCCCAACCTCAATACATGCCTATTAGGCTGGATCTCTATGGCTCCTATTCATAGAGTTAAGGTCTTTCCTCCTCATTCTAGGGATTCAATTTCCATCACTCTTGACAATGAAGTTGCCCAAGCAGTTAATTACAGTAAACAGATTTTCCTAGCAAGTACCAGAATGTGATTTTATTTAACAACTTCAAGATACCAAAAGAAGATGCAAGACAACACATCTGTTAACCAGAATGTTAAAAAGACAAACGCTACATTAGGAAACTGGCTTTGCCAATGGCAAAACCCAAGAAGCTTTTCTCTTAATTATGATATTTCTTTAGGTCCATAAATCTATTATTATTACTATTATTGTAACATTTGCCCTTTTGAAAGTACAATTCTGCGAGGTTTGACAAACATAGCTATAGAACCATCACCACAGTACACAGAACAGTCAACATCACCCATAATCCCCACATCTCCCTCCAGTCCAACTCTTCCCTTTCCCCCACCCAGGCCCTGCCACCCCTTTTCTGTCCCTCTAGTTTTGCCTGTCCCAGATGCCAGACAACCATTTTTAAAAAGAATAGAGCCACAAATGAAAACCCTTCCTGCTGATTCTTATCCCCCTTTTCTTTTCACACCCCACAGTTAGCTACTCCTAGGTAAATCCCTTAGAATTCTTTTTTTCTTCATAATTGAATAATTATGGTTGCAAATATTTAATTAAAGTATCCTGGCCGGGTATGGTGGCGTGCACTATGTGATCCTAGTGGCTCAAAAGGCTAAGGCAGAAGGATTCTGAGTTCAAAGCCAGCTTCAGCAAAAACAAGGCGCTAAGCAACTCAGTGAGACCCTGTCTCTAAATAAAATATAAAATAGGGTTGGAGATGTGGCTCAGTGGTAGAGTACCCCTGAGTTCAATCCCTGGTACCTCCCAAAAAAAGAAATATCATTTTAGTGTTTGAATTAAGAATACAACATTCTAAAAAGAGATGCCTCAAATGTGTTTTTTGGAAGACGAATTATAAATTTAAAATAAACGTTTCAATTTCTTCTTTTTTTTTGGTACTAAGGATAGAACCCAGGGGTGCTTAACTACTGAGCCACATCCTCATCCCTTTTTATTTTTCATTTTGAGACAGGGTCTCACTAAGTTGTTAAGACTGGCATGGAACTTTCGATCTTCCTGTCTAGGCCTCCCTAGAGGCTGACCAGCATTAGAGCTCAGTCACTTGAGAAGAAACCAGATCAATATGCCCTGTGTGAAAGTCATGAATTTGGCATATGAGCAGTGTAAACCAAATCCATTTTCTAGGCATAGTCATCAACATGTAACTAAAAGATACACAACAATAATATATGCAGAAAAGCTCAAAATTAAGCAATTACATAATATTTTTTAAAATTTTTAAATATGCATGGTTTGTTAAGAAACTATTCTTATTAACATCTAAATGTAAGAAAACCTATAAGACCTAGACAATACCCATCAAGAGCTATTAAAAATTATCACAGAATAGAGGCTGGTGATTAGTTTAGTAGTGGTAAAGCATTTGCTTAGCATATATGAGCCCGCTGTTCAATCTCCAGCACTGAAAATAACAAAACAAAAACCATTGCAAAATAGGCAGACATTATATGCCTTCTGATTAAAGTACACAGGTAACATCTCTGATGTAGGCTTAACAAAAGACAAAACAACAACAACAAAAAAAAAAAAAAAACCCACAACTATAAAACTCAAACTGTGGTTCTCAACCAAGAATGATGTTGAACTCCAAGGGAAATTTTTGTCAATGTCTGGGGATATTTTTGGTTGTTATAACTGGGGGTAGGCATCATGCTACTAAATGTAGCATCTACTGAACAGGGGCAACAGATCCTACTAAATACCTGCCTTGAGCTGGACACAGTGATGCACGCCTATAGTCCAAGCACTTGGGAGACTATGGTGGGAAGAACGCCCAAGCTCACAAGTCAGACACCAACCAGAGCAACATAGTGAGACCGTATCTCTAAACTACCTCTCAAAACAAAGAAAATATTCTACAATGCTTAGGACAGCCCTCTGCAGTAAAGAAATTAGTGGCCCTAAATGTCAATAATGCAAAGGTTGCAAAATCTTGTTCTAGATCCAATTACCAATTCATGGGAAATACAGGAACAAGTTAAACACCACCACAGGAATGCAATCTTCAAAAGTTAGGCCACTAAAAAACTATATACCAGACTACGTGTTTTTAAGGGGGTCCAGGGGACAGATGGAAAAGGGAAAATTTATAGATTAAAAAAGATTTTAAAAAGATACTGCAAAGTAGGAACTGGAAGCAGAGCTAAACAGTATAGCACATGCTTAGAAAGCATGAGGTCATAGGTTCAGTATCCAGCCCGGGTGCACACGCACACTCACACACACAAAAGCAAGGTATACAGGAGGTCAGGGGTCTTATGTTTTCTCTCATATGTGGAAGCTAAAGAAAAAGGAAAAGAAAACTGGGGGCAGATCTCATGAAAATCATGATGAGATGAGTACAGGAAAAGGACCAAGGGCTGGAGGGCAGGGAGGGAGGGGAGAGTGCTGGGAAGTGATATTGGCCAAATAATATGCCCTGTTATACCGTATGCATGTATGAATATGTAACAACAAATCCCATTATTATGTACAACCACAATGCACCAAAAAAAAAAGAGGTGGGGGGAAAATAAGCAAAGTATAAATTTATATTAGTCCTCCTCTGAACAAAGAAACTTAAAAACTAAGTTAATCTAAGAAATTTGAACACTACTTGATTAACTTGGTAAGAATGACTATTAAAATCATGGTTTTAATGATTTTAAATCATGGTATTATGACTATAATTTTTAAAATTCCAATCTATTTGAAGACACCAGATGAAATATTCACACATGAAATGATATAACTGAGAGCTGGCTTAAAATAATCACCAAGGAGGAAGAAAGAACCAAGCCATAGTTGAGAACTGTTAAGCTGTGTTATTAGTTCTTAAGAATTCACTGTATTAACCTTTCTGCTTTTGTGTTTTTCAAAATTAACAGGGAAAAAGAGCGGCAATCATCACAACTCTCTGAAAATTAAGTGTACTCCAAATATTCTCCCCTAAATAATGATGCTAATCTAAAAACCAATTTAAGAAATAAAGTCTCCACTTGATACAAACCAAGGTTTTCTATTCCTTACCATATTGAAGCCAGCTGAGCCTGTGGTAAACTCGATTGCATAAGAATAGTTCTTGCTTGGGGACCTGAATAGAAACCAGAGAAAAGACATAAAGATGAGTCAGCAAATAACCCCTGCTCAGGAAGACCAGTGTGGCTGTGCTTATGAACCATGCAATCTCATGCAATCACAGAGCTTTACACAGTATTTGCTATTACCCTGGGGCTTTTAAAAAAGGAAATTAAGCCCTAGCAAAAGTAAAGAAACAAAGATGACAGTGCTGCATCTGACACACAATACATTTTTGCTCAATGGGTGTTTAATAAGGAATGAGTGTGTAAAAGATGAGAGTTTCAAAATATAACCTGTTCTTTTGTCCAGATTAACATTTCTATTTGTATTGGGCTTTTATTTACAAAAGTGAGACTTTATCACTATAAACTGAACATCTTCTCCATGGTCACCATCTGCTGCCTTCACCGTGACTATTATCACATAAATTCAGAGAAGATTTACAATATCTTAGTTAAGGAAAGGGCCTTGGAGGGACTTCTAATCATTCACTGTACAGACTTTAAAAAAAAAAAAAAAATTGAATTGAAGGTTGCACAACTGGCTAATATCATAGCCAGGACTAGAACAAAATTTCTATGTTAGCAAAAATAGAAATACTTCCTGGAATTTCTACTCTTCTTTCAAAATTAGGTCTCATTTTCTTAAAATAACTGCAAATATCTTCATTTCTGGCAAGAAATTAGCTTTATATATCACATAGAAAATACAATGGGAGATTTTTGAGTGTTTAAATTAGTATGAGCGAGACAAAGACACACACACACACACACACACACACACACCCCAAATATGTCTTAATTCCAGCACTGCCTGTCAAGCTGTGTGGTCCCAGGAAGATCCAAGGAACAGAAAGCTGTAGTAATTCTGTTGGCAAGATTCCCATGTATAAACTTTTACTCTTAGCTATTTCAGTTTTCAAATACCACCTCTTCAAAACACACAGAAGTGGATGAGTGTTTGCATAGCAAGTAAGGAAGGACAGGGATCACAAGGTCCCAGCACTCCAAAGCCAGAAAAGGAAGGACAAAGTCCTGACAAACCAGGGGACTGTGGGCTTCAGTACTAGCTTAGCTTACACTCTGCTGAGTTACTCTGGGAAGGTAGTTTCCTTACTTATTTGGACCTGAGTTTTTCATCTCAAAGGTGCTTTCCAGATTAGAAAAACCTGTGATCCACCATTTAAGGAATCATAACTTTATAAAGCACATTAAAGTACCCAATAAGTGGCAGTTAATATTTATTATTTAATATTTATTACTACTGACAATGATTTTAACTTTTATTTACATGTAAAATATTGATAGAAAAGCACACATGACTATATACATGTACATACATGTATGTGTATATTTTTATGCATGTGTGCTATACGGTATATCATTCTGTGCCTATAGCCCAATTTATTTTGCTCTGATGGGCATTCAGGCATTTTTCAATTTGGGGCTCTTAAAAATAGCGAACCTTCTGTTTTGGTACACATATGAATATATTTCTCTTTAGTGTGTATGTATATGTGTATATGTATTAACAGCACCTAATAAACAATTTTTACTAAGTTAATGGAAAGATTCTAAAGGTTCTCTGGTGTATTGAAAAGAAAATTCATTATTTTCTTTTTAAAAAAAATTCTTAGTTGTTGATAGACCTTTATTTTACTTATTTATATGCAGTGCTAAGAATCGAACCCAGTGCCTCCCACGTGCCAGGCAAGTGCACTACTGCTGAGCCACAGACACAGTCCCTCATTTTCTTCAGAGTTTGCTGAAAACATTAAAATAAAATTAGCAAAACTTAAGTGAATGCTTTAATTAGTACTTTTAACAATTCTCCCATTCCAGAACCATATACAGTTAATATTTTATCTTTTTCAAATAAACAGGTTAATAGGAAGGTGGAGAACCAAGTCTATCATAGGTATCTGGACACATATATTTCAGCCCTGACTCCTTAATGTCATGTGGCATTAACAAAACTACTTTACCTCTCTAAAATGAATTTCTCTATCTCTGAAATGAGGAAAAAAAACCTGGAATGGGACCTAGCAAACTATGGCCCATAGATCATATTGCCCTGTCACCTGTTTTTATAAATAAAGTTTTACTAAAACTTTGTCAAGCCTATTCATTAAACATGAATGTTTAATAGGCTGCTTTTGTGCCACAGTGGCAAAGTCGAGTACTTGCAATAGAAAACATGGGGCTTACTAGTTTAAAAAACTTATTATCTTGTTTTTATAGAAAAAGTTTAATGATCCCTATACTGGAAGATCACAATTATCTCTTTCAATTCTAAAACTTGATTCTGTCTCACAACAATTTTGCAAACATTAAAATAGATCAGCAACAAATAAGATAACATTTTAGCATAACACAACAGCATAAAATTGAGCTTTGAGTGCACAGAACTCTTTCATGGAAACCTAGATACATAATAGGGTACCAGTTTTAGAATATAGACTGATATTATGATATTATGTCTCAAGTTCACAAACTCAACTGTGGGCATCCATGTTTGGATAGGGAAGTCTGAATATCAGGAGAGAGAAAATTACATGGAATTAATGCTTTATGTCCAATATTGACAAGAGTTTAGCTTTCCTAATTAATAAGCAAAAACAAACAAACAAACAAAACAAATGGAATGGTCACCTTCATAATAAGACACCTCTTTGAGAAGACAGGCTAGAATGAATAAGATTATGAGAATTCTACAGCTTCTTACATAACCTTAATTCAAGAATGACCATTTTATAAGTTCTCTCTAAGAATAATAAAATACTCATCAAATTGTGAGGGAAGAAGGGGGCACACACCTAATAACGTATGTCAGTTAAATTGATCAGGTAATTCATGGGGTAAACAACACTACTGCTGGATTAGCTTCCATTCCCAAGGTAAACTAGTTCATATCACAAGATCAGAAGTTCTCACTTTTTTCTGCTGGAACCAATCAATGACATACGTTCTCATGCCCACAACATGCTCATACAGATGTAGCCATGATCTGATGGCATTCAAAGTAAGTAGGTGAAAATAAGACACAATGGTAATTAGAAATCCCATTAAAAACTGATAGGACATTAACAATGGGCTCTTGCTACAGGAGTAGCAGAGATCAGATAAGTAACAGGCAGAGATCAGATAAGTAACAGGTTATGTATAATTCTTGGAGAGCTAATAATGAAATATTATTATATGTGAATATAAGGTAGTAAAAGTGATACTACAAAGATAATCTAGATTCTCCTCTAATTTATATAAAACAAAATAATCTACAACCCCTATACTTTTATTGTATTCATTTAGAATGCCCCAACTCCAAGGTTGAGAACTACTGCACTAGATTAAGAAGTTATGATTGTGTATCTTCATAAAGATGCTTGTTAATTCTTTCTCGTCTTTTTAAAAATATTTTTCTTTTGTTTTTGTTAGTTTTGGATTTGTTATTAGTGCCTTTAAACAAGAACACACACACACACACACAAAACCAAGAAAAAAGAACAGATTAGAATATCAAATTACATATTTCACTTGGGCCTCTTCATATACTAGGGCTTTGGTTCAACTTTCTTGATATTTCTCTTAAGTTAAATGAATAACTGCTTTTAGGATTCTGAGTTCATACAATATTTTCATAGTTGCAAATAAGACCATGACCTTTGTGTTTCAACCATCAACAAATCATCTCTGCTTGCACCAACAGCTTGGTTTAGTCCAACACATATTCTGGACAAATAACTCAAAAGTATATAAAGTTAAAACAAACTAAATTTATTTTATTTATTGCCATTTATGATAATAAATTTTTCTACCAGATATGACTATATGAAAGTCTGATTCAAAAATCAAATTTGCACCTTAAACTCTTGCTGGAATGAAGTAGTAACAAGCTTACAGATAAGAAAGAACAAAACCTGCTTTATTTCCAGTACATTTCAAACCTTACTTTCTGCCTCAGGTAATTAAAAATTCTAAATACAAGTGCCTGGGTCATTATTGTTGGGATATATACACTTCAATTTAAAAACCACATTTTGTCAAGAAAGAATTTCAAAATCAGTGTCACATTTGAATACTGTTTTCATTAAATCACAGCAAACAACAGCACTGTTTTGAAAAAATATTTTCAGACTTGATGGCAATGTACTTCTGGGTATGTGTAGAGAACTGGTGTCAAACACACTGTAAAAGAGGGCTTAAAACTGTATTAGTGAATGTCCCTGCAGTGTCTGCCTAAGCTACACTGGCTCTTCATACTATCTACATAAACCTGTCAGTCACTACTTTAGCAGAGGTGAGCATAGCACCCAGAGTATTTGTGTGTATTTACTATTTGTCCCTTTAGATAAATACATGCTGAAGTGAGATAGCTAAGATCGTTTGTGGGGAAAGGTTTCCAGATTAGAGCAAAGCCCTTCAAAGTCTCAGCCAACCCTTCAAAGTCTCTATTTTGTTTTAGTAATGTTATGTTTCTCTATATAAAAAGTTAATTATTTTAAGTATTTAACCCTTCCTGAAAAGATTTCAGATGGTACCCTAAAATTCTTCTCCACTCTTTCTTATGTGGAAACAGTATCATCATAATTTTTAAAAATCTACTGGAATCATATAAATTACTCTGGTCTTTAACAGATGAAGAAATAAGATCCAAAGAGGTGAGACCCACTGAAACCGTGGCAAACCATGTTCCTTAAGAGGTTATTTTCCATGTTGCACACAGATTCAAACTCTGGCCCGGAGAGTGGACATCATGAAGAACATTTGCAAAGCTAGACTTCAGAACCTAAAGCTAGTTTTTGTTCATAGCACTGTTACTTTATTAGTGTCCTGGTTTGCATATTAGTGGCTTTCAATGTGCAGGAGCATACCTGGTCTATGTTCTACTCTACCAAGAAGCACACTGGGACAAAGGTCAGAGGCTTAGCAGACTACTGATGGAGTTATCAGTATTTGCAAACACAAGATAACACAGACAATAAAAACACCACTTAGAAATAAGCAAACAAAGAAAGACATTTGGAAAATACCTTTGACCCAATATCTAGAAACAATCTGCATTTAGAACAAAGATCATATTTCACTAATCTTTATTTGTAAATACCTGTTAAGTGTCCACTCATAGTTTTGTCATGACTATTGAATAACTGCCTGTATTTCAATCTCGATGACTGAGGAACAGCCCATTCTGCTGCTGGAGGGACACTACCAGGAAAAGAGGAAGGAGAAAAAGATGATTAACCAGAAGGAAAAGACTACTGACAGTCTTTAGAAACAGTAAACTTAGAACTTTCTCTAGATTTACAACTTGAACAGTATTGCCCTTTTTCCCTTCCCCCAATCCCTGCCGTGTGTGTTTGTGTGTGTGTTTTTATGTGTGTGTGTATGTGTTTGTTTTTCTGAGGGTTGAACAAAAAACTAAAAATATACACATAACAATTTTTTAAAATAGGTAAGTTCATTATTTTTCTAGAAATGGAAAACCTAAGAGATCAAGTGACTATTTCATGTTACATATATAACTTAATAATATCAAAGTTCTACATAAGTATGAGAAATCTTAGAACAGAGGCAAAATAATACACATTTTTTGTGTCTAGAAAACATTTCCTTCAGTTAAAAAAAAAAAAAAAAACACTGCCAACAAATAAGTGCCTCTAAAGGTATTAATTCTCCAAAACATTCAATTTTCTATACACTAAAATATGGGACCTACTTCTTTTTCTTTTTTTGCGGGGAAGGGGTAATACTAGGATTGGACCCAGGGGCACTTAACAAGTGGGCTAAGCCTTCAGCCCTTTTTATGTTTTTAATAGTTTAAGACAGGGCATTACAAAGTTGCTGAGGTTGGCCTTGAACTTGTGATCCTCCTGCCTCAGCTTCCCAAGTTGTTGGGATTACAGGTATGCACCCTCATACCCTGCATAGAACCCACTTCTTAATGAAATAAAATTATTTCACGATAAGAAGTTTAAATTTCCACCAAGTGGAGAAATCTTCCAAAAAACATTTCCAAGACCATGACAAATCAGCAGAACAGTGATGGACAGCGCTCATCTTTCTTAAATGCCATCCAGCAGTGACCTCTTTCTGCCAATGTGCTACAATCCTGACCTGAAGAAACCACTGCTAACAGCCAATTTGGGTCTAGACATCCCTGGCGATTTGCTCCTCAGCTACCATGGCCCAAGCAAGGATCACATTGGTATCAATAGTTTGTTAAAAAGTCTAATGTCTAAATCAAGTGATTCATTCACAGATGTTCAGCTGACAGTAAAAATGGTACTCCTCCTCCAGCAGACCACAGCTAATGTCCCATATGCAACTTCTTTTCATTCCAATAAAAATACCTACATCTCTCATGGAAAGGTAAAATTTTAACCTCTTAACCATGATTTATATGTATTATCAATGCACTTATACTTACTGTATATAGTTCAGAAAGCACAGAAAGTAGTTCCCAAACACTTGAAAAGTACTAAGCTCACCTTTTTAATTTTTATGAATTTCTTAATAAAAAACACTTACCGCGATCTATTCTGCTGTGAATACTTGGGCAACAACTCTCTCATTTTAACTAATATTTTGCTATTCCAACTCCTGCTTGTTTTTCAAAAAGCTATCTTGCTCCTGCACCCTAGAGATATAGGGTGCTACGCACAGAAGTTGTCCCAGATTACACTTATCATGTCATGGTTCTCTGTCTAATTCCTGAGAATCTAAATAGACTAAAAACTAACTCATTAATATATTACCTAAAAGTTGGATACTACATTATAAAAATTTGCTGAAAGTTTATATTATTGAAAAGATGAATATTAACATAAAAAGTTCAATTATCTTAATAGTATTGATTTTTGCTAATAATGAATAACAGTCATTCTAAATTGTTACAAATCAATTTTAAGGCAGATTTCAAAATCCCTTGTGGAAAGTTAGAAAAAATATAAAAGCTTCAGCATCATATAGGAGAAAAAAATTAACAATATGGAACTATGGTCATGTGATATGAGTTTAAGCCTCAGCTCTACCATTTACTCAACTGTAAATTATAGGAAAGGAACATAACTTCTTTGGGTTGTTTGCCTCCTCATTCACAATCCTGAGACAATACCTATGCACAGGTAGTTGTGGGTTGAATGGGATTAATAAGGTGCCTGGCAAAAAAAAGTTCAATAAATGTTCAATCATTCAAAGGCTAGCAACTTAAATGAAATGGATCACAAATACCTGTACACCACAATAAACTGAAGATTTTATAGAAAATTTGCAGTTTAGAAAAACTGAGTACAACTCAGCACTGACACTGAACAAGTTAATAATCTTGGGCAAGTCACTCAATGTCTCTGACCTGGTCCCCAAACTATAACAGAGAAAATAATAGAGTCATCTTATGAAGATGAGTCAGTTATTGTGCACAGCTTTTGGCACAGTGCTTTTCACTGGATGGGTCTTTCTCACTTTCCTTTTTTTTTTTTTTTAGTTAGTATTAGGGTATGGATTTTCTTTAAATCGTATTTTTTAAGGGAATGCATTAGTGAATTATATTCAACATATTATTCTCTTTAAAGAGGAAAAATGACCTGATTAAATTAAGAGATAATTTTAATGAAAGGCTGCAATTACCTTAATTTACATCCTCCTTCATTCCAAGAGTTTTAAGACTACTTACAATAAAAATTTTCAACTTAGTGTATCAGTATGCACAGGGGAAAAAACTAGGAGAAAACAAAAATATAATATAATAAAAATATAATAAATAAATACAATAGAGCTGGGCACACTGGCACATGCCTGTAATCCCAGAGGCTTGGTAGGCCAATACAGGAGGACCGTGAGTTCAAAGCCAGTCTCAGAAACTTAGCAAGGACCTAAGCCACTCAGCAAGACCCTGTCTCTAAATAAAATGTGAAAAAGAGCTGGGGATGTAGCTCAGAGGTTAAGTGCCCTTGTGTTCAATCCCTGGTACCAATAAATAAATAAAATACAAAATCAGTTTGGCCAAAATATAAGTAATAAGATCATATGAGTTTTTCAAAAATTGAGCCACACTTTTGATTAATGTGAACTGTCCATTAATTTGAATAATTCATTTTAGTAAAAATTGGCCTTTAAGAGGGTTTTACTAATAAGCCACACAGACTCCATGAGATTATCTGAGACAGAATGAAAAATAAGATAAACCCGTGGCTCCAATCTTCATATATAATTTTTATACACTTTTAAGTGACTAACAAGAAACAGTTAATTTATTTTTCCCCTACCTAGAATGCTATTTTACTATGTTTTAAAAAATCTGTTACTTTTTTTTTTTTTTGGTACTAGGTATTGAACCTAGGACCTCCTTACCCATGCTAGGCAGTGCTCTGCCACTGCCATTGACCTGCACACCCAGCCCCCCGCCCCCCGTTACCTTTTTGTTATCCCCTTTAAAAAGCCAAAAACAACAACAAGAAAAACACATAAAACCTTCCAAGAAATGGCATGTTTTTGATTTCTGTAATCCCTGCAACAAAGAAATGATAAAACCTAGTGGCATTATCAAGAATTTTTAAATTATTATTAACATACAATAAAAATGAAAGAAGATAATAAAGAGGGTTCATTTTCTTTTATAATCAGATAATGGTTTTAAACCAAACTTATCATTAAAAACAAGCAAGCTTACCTGGCCACATCAAATGATTGTGCCTTCTGTAATTTAGTGCTTAACTGTGATCCTGGACCAGATCTACTGAAGGAAGAACTCTTTGGCAATGTGGCTGCTATAAAAATAAATGTTGAATAATTTTAATTCTACAAAGATAAGAAACTTTCCCCTATGACAAAAAATTAAAATGCACAGACATAAAACCTAAGGCAGCTAGGCAGGGTGGTATACTCCATACTATAAGGAGGACTGCACAAGTTCAAAGCCAGCTTCAGCAACTTAGTGAGGCCCTCAACAACTTAGCAAGACTTTTTGTCTCAAAATAAAAAATAAAAAGGGCTGGGAATATAGCTCAGTGGTAAAAACCCCTGGGTTTAATCCCCAGTGCCAAAAAATTTAAAAAAAAGGAAAACTTAAAGCAGAAACAACTCCTCCTTGCTTTCCAATAGAACTTGGACTCAAAAGAATTCTATTTCCCTCTTAGTCTCTGTCCTCTTGCCAAAATGCTTCTAGATTTACTGTTCTACTGAGAATTACTTTACTGAGCAGTAATGCTGACATCCATAAAGTTTTCCATTTCATTGAGATTTTAGTACCACACGTTATTAGATCCGTTCCAATAGTTAAAAATGTAACAGCTTAAATATATAAGGTGGAATTTGGGAGGCAGGGGGAGTTGCCAGGGATCAAACCCAGTACTTTATCACTGAGCTTCATTCCAGCCCTTTTCATTTTGAGAAAGGGTCTTGCTTGGCACCTTGCTAAATTGCTGAGGTGGCACCGAACTTGTGAACCTCCTGCCTCAGTCTCTCAAATCGCTGGGATTACAAATGTGTGCCACTGCACCCAAAAAGATGGCATTTTCTCAACTGCACTAAAGGAGCTTAAGTATCAGTTCCAGATGTCAGAGCCAAGAAGTCAGTCTGCCAACTCTTGGCCAGATAACATGTGATACTTAGGGAGGGACAGCTTTTGTATCTGATTCTCATTTGACCTGATTAGTTTTGTATCAGACTAAAAACACCCTTAGCCTTAGCCACATTCCCCCACCCTTGCCTGCTGGTTGATCTACCATTAGCCCAAAAGAAAACAAGACTCAGAGCTTGTGGATTCACCATTACTACTGAAAAAGGAACTGCATGCACTTTCTCAGCTGCTATCACATCTGAAGGCATGATCATATATAAACAATGGACTATAAAGGACAAAAAAATCTAAGTCCAAAGAGTGTTGTTAGATTCTTTGGCTATAACTCAGAGACATAACCCAACAAATATAATAAATCCAGGGTGTGTCAGACATAGAAATAATGTTTCAAATATAATACTAAAGCCCATGCTGTTATCACTATTGAATTTACCAGACATATCCAAAGTGTTAGTTTTTTTTTCATATTGATATGAACCATTAAGATTTGTTAGACTATGACTAACTATATAGTTTATGCTTTCTTTTAGGAAAAGACTTTGAATAAAGTCTCAAATTGAATTAACTAATGAGGAATTTTGAAATCCTCTCCTTCAATTAAGCAAATATGTAATACCATGTGCTTAATATGCTTAGTCATTTAAATGACTTCCTTCTCTTTTCTGCCTGATTCATTCCACCTCCTCAAAAAATCAAGCAATGTTCAATTTTCCCCAGCACATAACTTAATTCCTAGGAGATAGCTTGCTTATTAGTAATTCACAGTAGCTATAGAAAAGTAGTAACTGATACATGAAAATAAAAAATGATCAAAAACACTGTTCAACTTCAGCTGCTCTTATTAAGCCCTTGAAGAGAAATTATGCTCTTGACTTTCACCACCGAGTTTACTTTTGCTCACAGAGATCGACAATTCCATTCCCTTGTCCCCTCCCTACCATAAAATATGCTGCTTAATATGTTGAAAAAATGAAAAATTAAGTGGAAAAAAAAGATTTTACTTTGGAACAAAATACCATTTAAATCTGATAAGAAAGTAAAAAAAGATTTAACAAGAATAAATATCAAAATAAAAGCTGTGGTAATTCAGCCTATGGTTTTGGCAGGTCACATACCAGGATGAGCAAATGCAGGCAGAGGCTGTATGACAGGGGGAGCCCCGTTAGCTAGGGGAGGCACTGCTGTTGGAGGAACAGAAGATACTAAGGGTGGAGACATTCCAACAACTGGGATGGATCCCATTGGCACTGGAGCAACAGCAGTAAGCGGTGGCATGCTGGCGATACCTCCTATACCTACAAAGGAAACATTCCCAAGGAAATTCAGTCACATTTCAATATTCAGTAATATTAACACTATAGTGCTTGAAGAAGAAAACCACTTTCAAGCTATAATATATTCCCATGTAAAATATGGGGATGTAGCTCAGTGGGAGAGTGCTTGCCTAGCACACAAGAGGCTCTGGATATGATCCCCAGCACCCCACCCAAATTTAATATAGCAATTAATTCAGATTAATTATGTTTAAATGTACAAAAATTATCTCAAGGTTCACATCAAAAGAACAAGACTCAGGGTGGGGATATAGCTCAGTTGGTAGAGTGCTTGCCTAGCATGCACAAGTTCCTTATTACAATCCCCCAGGCTCACCTCCCCCCCCACCCCGCAAAAAAGAACAAGATCCAAATTAAAGAGGGATGAATTAAGACAAGGACCAAGAATCTTAACTTCAATTAACTAAGTAAATTCATGACTTCAAAATGATATTTAAAAACAAACAACAACAACAATTTCTAAATTGGTTCTCATAGGAAGATGCAAGGTAATCAATTTTTTACTTTGAAAACTAGTAAGGAAAGGGGAATAAAAAAAAAAATCAACCATTTAACCTGTCTTTTCTATACATATTACACCTTGGAGTAAGCAAATATTTGATGGGAAGAAGTATTTTCATAAATAGATAAATAAAGGAAGAAGTGTTAGAATTAAAATAAATGTTTCCTTTCTTTTGTTGTTTCATTTCTTCCTCAACTTCAATACCTGTTTGTCCCACAGGGCCCTTTTGCATATCCTGTGTTCAGGCACACAGCTTGTGGGTTGGTGAGGAATTTGCAATGGGCTTGGGTCCACCCTTATCACAAGCACACACGTGCACAGCTTCAACTAAGAATACAGTTCCCTGATCACAACTTTAGGCCAACAGAGATACTGGTTATTATCAGCCCATCTGCTGCGAAGATCATGTCTTCTACTGACAAGGCTGCTGGGCACAGGCATCACACTCGCCCCCAAGGCAAAGTGACTCCCAATAGCAAGCCTGCCAGCACTCACAACCTGCCCCATCCTGGCAGAATCCCCATGTTAACCAAGCTGAGAGGTTGAGAAACAGGTACATACTCAGCAAAGACTGCCAGGCTTCCAGTGTTCCCTCTGCTCATACCTGAATCTTAGCAGTTTTTAAAGCATAAATGATTCTCAGAGAGTCATATACCTTTGGTTTATTTGGAGAGCACTTACAAGGTTTTGTCAATTTTTCCCATTTACATTAGCACTTGGGGGAAGAATCTGCTGCTCTCATCCTGTTCTGGTCAAAAATCCCAATGCTGAAATGTCTGTTAAGTTTCTTTTAATCTAGAGGCCCCTCTCCATCCCTTTTCTTAACAATTTATCTGTGAAAGACCCAAACCATGTAACCTGTAGCATTTCCCTATCTGAATTGTATTGATTCAAATCCTCACAATACATTTCAAAATTTACCTCTGTTTTCTGCATTTCCTACAAATAGGCAGCTAAATGCAATGACTGCATAAGACTTTGTCAAGACTATTGGAAGCACATGACATATATTGTCTTTTTGTGATCTGACAGTCACTGATGCTTGATGTCTGTGCTTATTCATCCATAAGGAGTTGCAAAATAGTGATGTTCTAGTTCTACCAACTCTCAGTTGGAATACTTTTATAAAGGGGTACTTCTAATGAGGATCTATTGGTTGGCTATTCAGTTATACAAATCATATAGGAAAAGCAAAGTAAATGCTTGATTCCTTCTCTTATTTTCAAGATAACAAATTTGAGTCTCTTAAAGTGGTTATTCTTTTAAAATATGTATCTCATCACTATGTCACAAATTTAAACATATTTACTGAGTTTTAATCCATTGCACTTATTATCACTTATTATTAATAAAGTTCAAAGTGTTCTATCTTTGGCCAATGTTAGCCTCTTCCGAGTGGCTGAAAAGTTCTGATATCACCCTACTGTTCTCTGATACCTTCCTTGAGGATCAGTATTACAAAATAAGTTCCTTCAAGCTCGTCGTGTCCATCTCACACAAGAACTCAGATCAGTCATTTCTCCAGGAAACTCAGGTTCCCTTTAATAAGAAATAGTATTTCAAGTGTACAATCTGGGCTCACTGCTGGTGTTCTAGTGGCCATGGAAAGAAGCGGGGAGTGGGCTGGGGTTGTGGCTCAGTGGTAGAGTGCTCGCCTAGCACACGCAGGGCCCTGGGTTTAATCCTCAGTACCACATAAAAATAAATGAATGGAATAAAGGTATTGTGTCCAACTACAAATAAATAAATAAGAAGTGGGGAGTGCCCCTTGTTTGAGCAGTTGCTCTCTGCTGCCAGGGTTGACCATTGTTTCCAGTCCTTTTCAATGGACACAGCTTGGCGACAGATGGATGGAGAGATGGGTAAGTGAAGAGATGAACAGAGGTTAGAGAGCATTTCTAAAAGATTCCTCAGAAAGGGCTCATGTCAGTATTTCTTAAGTCCTTACAAGTTGATGACATTTTGTCTATACTCTTTCTACTTGAAAGTCAGTTTTCTGGACAAAATCCTTAGCTCATTCTTTCACTAGGAATCCTAAATATGTGATTCCATTTTCTTCTGGTATAAAGAAAGTACTGCTATGGAAAAGTCTGAAGCTGGTCTAATTTTCTTCTTTTTGTAAGTCATGTGCTTTCTTTTTCTACACACCCAAGTAATGTTTTTCTTTTACTAGAATATATCTTAGTGTTGGTCTTTCCAGGTTGATACTCTTAAGCACATGATATTCTTTCAAATACAGTTCTAAATCTCTTATTTTGAGAGAGTTGTCTTGAATTCATTTTACCATTTTTTCAGTTTTCCTGGTTTGGGAGTCATTTTCATTCTTAAAAACAATAATGACAATGTTTAATGACATTAAAAATCCAGCAGAGAGGAATAAAAACTCTATTCTAGGTTTCACTGAGTAATATTGTATTAATTACATTCCCTGCCTCAGTCTAAGTAGTCTGTGACTACAGGTATAAGCCATGGTGTATGGCTGATTGGTAATCTTAAGAGAAAGCTAACCTCAAGGATGCTAAGAAAGAAGACTTTAAAATATCTCAAATTAGTTGGCACCAAAAAGATAACACAAAATCAATCACCAGTTAAAAAAACAAAAATAAAAACAAAAAAATCTAACCACTGAATTGATGAAAGCATCTTTTAATCTTCCAAATTTGTTAAAATCTTTTCTTACATAGTTTTCATTTTAAGTGATCCACTAAGCTTTTAAAAAGTCACTTCAAAGATTTTGAGCAACTAATGACCTCTTTTGAACAAAAGATTTTCTAATTATATCATATCTACCAGAGGCTATATTCTAAATGCCATTGATAGCTTCTAGTGCTAAATCTTAATCCTGGAAATTCTCCCATCTCTCCTGCATCACTGATCTTCCCTCTCTATAAAGTGCCAGCACAATTCAGCTGACAGCTCCTCCAGCTGTCTCCTCTGTACAGTTAAGCTCCCTCCCCTTCAGCTAAGCCTTCCTTGGTCCTGACCTCTCCACTGAACGACAAGCTCACTCACAAACTAGTCATTCATATCCAATCCAAACCACTTTCCTATTCCAGTCTTACTTCACCCTCAGAAATAAATCAAACAAGGGGCTCCCCCCACAACTTTTTAAAATCTTTTGTTTAGTTTAGATAGACACAATACCTTCATTTTATTTATTTATTTATTTATTTATTTATTTATTTATTTATTTATTTATTTATGGCACCAGGGATGAAACTTAGGGGTGCTTAATCACTGAGCCACATCCCCAACTCTCTTTTGTATTTTATTTAGAGACAGGGTCTTGCTCAGTTGCTTAGGGTCTTGCTAAATTTCTGAGACTAGCTTTGAACTAGCAATCCTTCTGCCTATCTCCTGAGCCGCTGGGATTACAGGCATGTGCCACTGCACCTAGCTATTTATTTATTTATTTTTATGTGGTGCTGAGGCTCAAACCCAGTGCCTCACACATGCTAGGCAAGCGCTCTATCGCTGAGCTACAACCCCAGCCCACTCCACCCTTTCTCAAAAGGCTTTTCCTTGGCTACTAGAATACCAGTCTTTTCTACACACTCTGGTCAGTTTCTTTTTCTGGCTACTTCTTTCACTAGAGCTTTCAATGTCATGTCACACCAGGGTTTGGTTCCAGATCATCTGCTCTCCTTTAGCCACACTTCCTCCCTAAGATGTCTAACTCAGTCCCAGGGCTTTCAGCCCCATCCATACTCACTCTCCAGAGCTGCCTGATTCCTTCTGTGCTTCAGGCACATGTAGTCACTCTTGACTCCTGAACATCTCAACTTGAAATCTATAGGTTCCTCAAACATGACTATACCTTTTGATTTCTCCCCCAAACCATTCCTCTTCCTGTTCTTTCCATCTCAGTATATGGTTACACCATGCATCCAGTTATTCAAGCTAAAAACCTTAATTCTCATTCCTTGGTTCTATTTCTAATCCATTAATATTTTAATTTCCCTCAAAATATAGAATATAGTAAATCTAATCTGTTGTATACATTACTAACAAACACCCTGATCTAAATCACCATTATCTAGTATGAGCTGGAGACAAACTAGAAATACTAGCAAAGACCAGGTTTTTGAGACAACTTTGGCAGACTTGATAAAGACTATGTACTTTTAGCTTCTTCTATTCCTTAAGATTTATCTTCTTGAAAACAATTTGATAAGAATGTCTATAGAATGATAGCAAGGTGAGGAAAGCCAGGGAGAAGCCAGGGAAGGAGCCATGGGCTGCCTGGCTGAGTGCTGGGTAAAATCCTGATGAGTTCCCGTGGCAGCAGTGGCAGGTTACTTAAGAGACTGTAAGAACCCTGGCAGTAAGGGCAAAAGTTCCTGAAAATAAATTAGCAGTTGAAATCCCTAGAGCAGAATGGAGTAAGAGAAAACAAAGTAAACCTAAGAATTACTGACCCCAAGTTTAAGGGGCAAAGAGAAATGGGATGCCACTGGTCACTGGATCCTTTCACCACTCTGAAGTTTTTTTCAATAAATCAATAAATACCAGAAGGAGACCAAAAGGAAACCAAGCACCCTTTCGTTGTTCTAGCACATGGGTCTTGACCAAAACTTGCCCACTGGGACCTTCAGGGAATCAGAGCAAAATCAAGTGGATTAAGTGGCCAACTAAAGGCTGTCTTATATACATAAAGGAACAAAATAAATACCTGTCATATGTACTGTTGTTCATATTTGTCTTCTGAGCCTTTACCCAGATGTGGGTTTTCCTTCTTGTGGACCTCTTTCCTACTTGCCTAAAAATCTCCTTCAAACCCACACCTTTCCTCTTCAAAAAAATTTATATTAGAATATTTATTTATTCTAATTTGTTACATATGACAGCAGAATGCATTTCAATTCATAACACACATATAGAGCACAACTCTTCATGTCTCTGATTGTACAAAGTAGAGTCACACTATTTATGTCTACATGTACTTGGTAATGATGTCCATCTCATTCCTCTGTCTTTCCTACCCACATGCTCCCGCCCTTCCCCTCTGCCCTACCGAAAGTTCCTCCATTCCTCCCATGCTCTCCCCTATCCGCATTATGGATCATCATCCTCATATCAGAGAAAACACTCAGCATTTGGTTTTGTGGGATTGGCTTACTTCACTTAGTGTAATATTCTCCAATTCCATCCATTTACCTGCAAATGCCATGATTTTATTCTCTTGTAATGCAGAGTAATATTCCATTGTGAAAATACATAACAATTTCTTTACCCTTTCATCTACTGAAGGGCATCTAGGTTGGTTCCACAATTTTAACTATTGTGAATTGTGCTGCTATAAACATTGATGTGGCTGCATTACTACAGTATGCTGTTTTTAAGTCCTTTGGTTATTAAACTGAGGAATGGAACAGCTGGGTCAAATGGTGGTTCCATTCCAAGTTTTCCAAAGAATCTCCATACTGCTTTCCAGATTGGTTGTAGTCCAACCAGCAATTTGCAGTCCCACCAGCAATGTATGAGTGCGCCTTTCTCCCCATATCCTCCCCAACACTTATTACTGTTTGTATTCTGATTAGCTGCCATTCTGACTGAAGTGAGATGAAATCTTACAATAGTTTTAATTTGAATTTCTCTAATTGCTAGAGATGTTGAATATTTTTTCATATGTTTTTTGATTGCTTGTATATCATATTCGGAGAAGTGTCTGTTCAGGTCCTTGGCCCATTTATTGACTGGGTTATTTGTTTTTTTTTTGTTAAGATTTCTGAGTTCTTTATATACCCTACAGATTAGTGCTCTATCTGATGTGCGTGTGGTAAAAATTTGCTCCCATTCTGTAGGCTCTCTATTCATCTCTCTATTAACATCATTGAGAAGAAGCTTTTTAGTTTGAATCCAACCCATTTATTGATTCTTGATTTTACTTCTTGTGATATAGGAGTCTTATTAAGGAAGTCCTCTAAAAACTGGAACAAGACAAGGATGCCCTCTTTCACCACTACTATTTAACATAGTTCTTGAAACTCTAGCCAGATCAATTAGACAGAAAAGAAATTAAAGGGATACCGATAGGAAAAGAAGAACTCAAATTAGCACTATTTGCCAATGATATGAATCTTCCATATCATTGGCAGATAGCAAATAGTTCTATTTGAACCTAGAAGATCCAAAAAATTCCACCAGAAAACTTCTAGAACTAATAAATGAATTCAGCAAAGTAGCAGGATATAAATCAACAACCATAAATCAACGGCATTTCTGTACATCAGTGACAAATCCTCTCAAAGAGAAACTAGGAAAACTACCCCATTTACAATAGCCTCAAAAGAATAAAATACTTGGGAATCAACTTAATGAAAGAGGTGAAAAACCTCTACAATGAAAATTACAGAACACTAAAGAAAGAAATTAAAGAAGACCTTAGAAGATAGAAAGATCTCCCCTGTTCTTGGATAAGCAGAATTAATATTGTCAAAATGACCACAGTACCAAAAGCACTATATAGATTTTATGTAATTCCAATCAAAATCCTCATAGAAATAGAAAAAGCAATCATGAAATTCATCTGGAAAAAAAAGAGACCCAGAACATCCAAAGCAATCCTTAGCAAGAAGAGCAAAGCAGGTAGCATCACTATCCCAGACCTTAAAATATACTACAGAGCAATAGTAACAAAAAAGGCATGGTATTGGCACCAAAATAGACTTGTAGACCAATGGTATAGAATACAGGACCCAGAGACAAACCCACATATTTAAATAATTATCTTATATTAGACAAAGGAGCCAAAAATGTATATTGGAGAAAGGATAGCCTCTTCAACAAATAGGAAAACTGGAAATCCATATGCAACAAAATCAAAGAAATTTCTCTTTTTCAAATACGTTGGCCTGTCTTAGGTATTTCATTGTAATAAAGCAAAATGGACTAATACAATAGCCAAATACCTCAATACTGTGAACCAAAAAAATATATTTCTAGATAGCATAATTAAAAGGAATTGTTTATGTACTAGGAGAAATACATTAATTCTGGGAACAGAAAACCAAATTTAAGTATGTAACAATAGGTTAAGGTCAATATGAAAAGCCAGAAGAAGAGAGATGAAGCAACAGCAGACTGCAGGTTTCTGTCCTTCACCCCACCAGCAATCTGTGCCTTTGCTCTCATAGTGGTGGCTTCATCCTAGAGTTCAGTTGTATACATGGTCCTTCCCCTCAGCACTGTCTTCCTGCAAAGGGCCTTCAGTTTTCAGACAGAAAAACCCCCAATAATTTCACCATGTTATAAACTCAAAAGGAGGGAGTATCTATTTTTAAAATACACAATGAAATATAGGAACAAATTCATTTTCAGACTTACCAAATGCTGGTGCACTAGAAATAGCAACTGGTTGCTGTTTCATCACAGGGGGAAGTGCAGAGGGGAGCTGATATCCTTGAAGCTTCAGTTTGATAAGCTTCATAGCTATGGAAAACTCCACTTGATCCATTCTTCCATCATTATTCATGTCAGCTAGTGCCCTGAAAATGAGCAGCATAGACTCAGAACTACTGTGACCATAAAAGAACCTTCCCAACCCCCACTTCCACTGACAAAAACACAAAATAATTCGCTCCCTTACCATAAGGAGATTAAAGGAAAACAAAACTTGTTTACTACATTATGGGGAAGAACCTACAAATACTGGCAAAGCTTTCCATGAATACAGAACGTCTTGTACTTTGGTACTCTTTACTTCTATAATATATCATATAGCCTTACCTTCAAGTGGCTTCACTTTGATGAAAATGTCCTAAAATTAGATAGTGGTGATGGTTATAGAACTGTGAATATACTACAAACCACTGAGTTACACAGTATAAAAAGGTGAATTTATTATGTTAATTGTGTTGCAATTAAAGCTGGTGGAAAAAAGTATATAGATCTGGGCACAGTGATGCATGCCCATAATCCCAGCATCTTGGGAGGCTGAGGCAAGAGGACCGCAAGTTCAAAGCCAGCCTCAGCAACTTAGCAAGGCCCTAAGCAATTTAGCAAACTCTGTCTCAAAATAAAAAATAAAAAGGGCTGGGAATGTGGCTCAATGGCTATGCACCCCTGTGTTCAATCCCCAGTAACAAAAGAGAGAGCAACAACAAACTAGAGACTATTATTTTTCAAGACACTTGGATAAATGACACTAACTCTATGGGGTTCTACAAACTTCCACCTGGGAAGCTGTCATGGTATGGTATACTATCCTTGGCTATATTATGGTACACTATACTAGAATGCTACTATACTTCTAAAGTTTTTAAGTCTTAATAATCAATTTTTCTTTAGAATCCTATTTTGTACACTCAACAAAGAAATTGGTTTTATGAGTATGTTTGCTATTTGAAAATGACACTCAAACATATGTGGTCCAACTTCAACTTGTGTCGAGCTTTTAAAGTAAAGTATTTTCTCTCAAAGAATATTAAACTAAAGAATTTATATTTGCAATTGGAAACTACATTACACAACCATAACCATGCATATTAATGACTTAATGAAAAACAGTCATTTAAATTTCATTTCTTTTAATCCAGATAGTATACGTGTGGGAATTAATTTTTAAAGTAATCTTATCAAAAATTTTATTTGAAACATAAGTAGACAGCTAGTCCAATTCAAATGCCATGACTACCACTCTTTTAAATTGAGCAACATCCAAATAATGGCCCCAAAGAAAAAATTAAATTATACAAACAGGGTGCAAATGCTACATGCCTATTGTTCCAGCTGCTCTAAGTCAGAAGTAGAAGGATCAGCCTGAGGTCAGCCTGGACAACTCCGCTATATCCTGCCCCAATACTGGGGGAGAAAAAAGGCTAGGGGGAGCAGAAGTATGGCCTACAACACACAGTAAAAGTGATAAAATTTTTTAAAATCACCATGATTATTTTGGAACATGCCAAAAAGAACATAAAAAAGCTCATTTCTCCCTCAGATAGGCATTCCCAAGTATTCCTGCAGTCAGGACTCCTTTGGCAAACCAATTCAGTGGAATCTACATTTCCTCACCACTAGTAAGCCTAGGCATTGCTTTCATGGTAATTTGGATTTGTTCTATGACTTGCTTATTGCCCCAACTGGCCTCAAATTCACAGATGTAGTGCTCTTCATTCCTCCCAAGTAGATGGGATGAGGTGCACATAATAGTGCCTGGCTACAATTACATTATTTTATTACATTTCAGTCTTTAAACCAACTACAATTTTATGTGTGATGAGGGTGTGTGTGTGTGTGTGTATGTGTGTGTGTGTTGCTATCCCAAGATTCAACCCTAGATATTTGTTCTAAATGAGTATTTAACTTTTCCAGTTATACTTATTAACTAATTCCTCCTTACTGAATTTATATATGCTTTTGTCATGCACTGAATATTTATATGAAGTAAGGGCCTACTTCTGCACTACCTCTTTTGACCAAACAATCCCAGGTCCACGTGATGGTGATCTGACCACATTAGCTCTTGATACATTCTGCTATCTTACAAGGCTTTCTCTCTTTTAAAAATTTTTCCCTATGAACTTTAAGACCATATTCTCTATTCTACACACAACCCTACTAGGATTTAAAAATGACACTAGATTTATATAATTTTTAGAGATATTTCTAAATATATATGTAATAATTTGCCACCCAAGAATATGCTATGTTTCAGTTTCTTCAGTTTTTATTTCCTTTTATAAAATTATCACATGTTCTTCATATAAATAATAAACTTGTATTGATAAATGTAGTCTAAGGAACTTCATAGTTTTTGCCAGAATTTTAAGTGGAATATTTCCCCCACTTCCATTTTTAGGTGCATATTTCAAGCATAAAGAGATTTTAAATTTTAAAAATTATTTATGCTATAATTAACTTACAAAATTTCTATGAAATCTTATTTTTTTAAATTAAAATTTCATACGTTTAGTAAAATTCCAGTATTTATGCCAACCCTCTTTTATAGATCTTATTCCTACTAAGATTAAATGAATGCCTTCCTGCTTAGTTTTGAGTTTAAATGAAAAATAGCTTCAGTATTTTACTGTTTAGAATGATATCTGGTAGTGATTCTGGGAAAACAGTCTGACGTATTTAAGTAGCCCCACTTATTAGTTGGCTGAATTTTTTATTAAAGGCCTAACCTGCATCTACTGATATGATTACAAGTTTTCTTTTTCCTTTTATCTGTTGACATAAAGACTAACAGTGACAGAATGAATGTCTTGGTTTTGAACCAATCTTATACTATTGGCATAAGTTCAAGTTGGTCAGAGTACATTATTCTTTTCATACATATGATGAGTTATGATTTTTTTATCTATATTCATAACTGAAACTGGCCCTGATATGCTTTATTTTTGTACCATCTTTTAGACATTATAAAGGAAAGTGAGGTAGCTGGGTGCAGTGGTGTAACTGGTATTCCCAGCAACTCAGGAGGCTGAGCCAAGAGGATTACAAGTTCAAGGACAACCTGGGCAACTCATTGAGACCCTGTCTCAAAATGAAAATAAAAGGGCTGGAGATGTAGCTCTGTGGTAAAGCACCCTTGAGTTCAATCCCCAGTACTACAAATAAAATAAAATGAAGAGGAGTTAGGACAATAAAATGAAATGGCATTTACTTCCTTTGCTAAATATTTTTTAAAATATACTTTTATTTAAAAATTATTTTTTATTTTTAGGTGGATACAATATATTTATTTTACTTTTATGTGGTTCTGAGGATTGAACCCAGTGCCTCATGCATGCTAGGCAAGTCTCTACCACTGAGCCACAATCCCAGCCCCTACTAAATATTTTTTAAAAGATAATCATCTATTTCAATTTTTTTGGGGGGGTGAGTTATTGATGAAATAAACATCAGCATACAAACTTTAGTATTTATTTTTAAATAAATAAATCAAGCAGATGCATCCCCTATTTCCCACATTGAGATATCAGAAAATATATTTTCTTATTTTAAAAAAAAAAAAAGGAAATATCTAACATGGGATAATGAGTGGGTTAGGAGAGAAGAGATTTCTAGTAATGGCTTAATTAGAATAATTTAGGGTTTCAAAAATCTTTCCTACCACAGTGCCTTCATGGGCAAGAAACAGCAGTTTGTAATCCTCAGATTCTAGGGATTATGTTTACACACCTACCATAATTCCAATATTTAGTTGGCAGCCTTGTGGTTCTCATAATTGTTTTTCACAATTAGCAAAACATAATTGTTAAGACTCTTTGATAATAAATAGAAAACTCAAAAGAAATTTATGGCAATACAGTTATTCTTACAAAGCTCAGCTTTCCTCCCTTCCTTCCCCTTCCTTCTTCCAGTACACTGGGATAGGGTTGGCATTTTATTTCTCAAGGCTCCTTTGCAAAAACTTCAGCACTGCTATACATTTCGTCTCCCATTTAATAGTTATTTCTCCAGTTAACTTGTTTTTACTAATTCTCCCAAAGACTAACTAAGGTCTACCAATACTGAAATTAAATTCACAAAACTTCCAAAATAAAAATATTTGATAAAAAGAGTAAATAACTGTCATATATGACTCTTGAAACAAACCTACTGTGAATACAGTGTTTAGCCTGATATTAACAGTTGTACACAACAATAAGTAGGATTGATTATGTCAGATACCAAAGGTGAGCTTTTTTAATTGATTTGTACCTCTAAACCATACATCACTCTTATACAGCGTCCAGGGGGAAAGTGTTATAACTTCAAATGGAAGGAAAACTATGTAAGCGTTTACTCTTTGACCCAGCAATTGCACACCTAGAAATTTACTCTGAAGATACATTTCCAGAAATACAAAACATAGATATATAAGCTCATTCATTGCTGCATTATCTGTAATTGCAAAATATTGGAAATAACCTAAATGCACAAGCATAAAACACTGGTTGAATAAATTATAGTATATCCTCCACAAAGAGTACTATGGAAATTGAAAATGAGAAAGATCTCCATGGAAATGATATAAACAGTTTACAGGATATGCTATTAAGTGAGAAAAGCAAATAACAAAAAAGCATTTCTAGGTTATCTTTAATGTAAGAAAAAAAAGGAAATAAAAAATATATTCACATATACATTACACATATTGGGCCTGTTTTTTTTACACACACACACACACACGAACACACACACAATCCTAATAAAATCAGTGGGAGAAGGGAATGAAGGAACAGAAAAGCAAGAAAATGAATAGCCTACTCTGATATATCTCTTTGCACACTCTTGACTTTTAGAACCTTGGTAATGCATGTATTCAAAAAGTAACATGAGAAGGGACACCTAAGAGTATTTTAAGTAAACAACATATTAACATAACCTCACAGGAATGAGAAAGAAAAGTGAACCCAAGTAACTTGTCAATATAATACTTTATTATGTTCTTATTTTAAAAATAGAAAGAAATACAAAGCAGTCTTGAACTCTACTTAAAGATTTGTTGTTTGTACTACATGAGTATGGCAATTTGGAAAGTCCTTTGCATATATTATAGGATTAAAGAAAGAGGCCAGACTTCCTACACCATCTCATGTACCACCACAGGGCAGGAGAAGTCTCTTCCACACAGACTTGTCACAGGCTACTTATCTCCTAGATGGTGCCTATCAAGCTAAAATTTAAGGCCAAGCAATAATGTATATTAACCCATCTTAGTCATTTATTCGTTCAAAAAGTTTCTATAAATGGGGTGGCTACAAAGGTCTAGGCACTATGAAGAAACTGGAGTTTAAACGGTGAAAAAAATAGAAAGTTCCCTCCTCTCACAGAGTTTATACTTCGATGTAAGCAGGCAGTAAACAAGAGAACAAATCAGATTAGTCTTCATGGTGATCACTTTTATTAAGTAATGGGAAAGACAAGAAGGGAGAGAGGAACAGGTAAACAGAGGGAACCACTTTAGACTAGTTGGTTGGGGAACACCTCTCTGGATGGTGACAAACTGAAGCCTAAATGGTAACAGAACTGGATTAAATAATAAGAGATACCAAGTGCAATGATCCTGAAGTGAGGAGAAATCTGTCACAATTAAAAATAGAAAGTCAGGGCTGGGGACATGGCTCAAGCAGTAACGCGCTCGCCTGGCATGCCCGGGGCGCTGGGTTCGATCCTCAGCACCACATAAAATAAAATAAAGATATTGTGTCCACCGAAAACTGAAAAATAAATATTAAAAAATTCTCTCTCTCTCTCTTTTCTCTATCTTTAAAAAATAAAAAGAGAAGGTCAGTTCCTGGAGAACAGGAATCAAGGAAGAAAAAGCCAGAATTCTATTAGCATTTGTAGCCTTGATAATGACTGGATCTCATTCTCAATGGAGAGCTGTAATTGGATTTACTTCTTAAAAAGGATTATTGGAGAATGGAATCTCAAAGGGCAAGTGTGAAAGAGAATCCAGCCTAGGTGCTCTATCAGTGGGCCCAGGTGAGATGACAGCAGCAAAGAGAGATAGAAGTGGTCAGACTGGGGTTAAAGTCTACCAATGAAGTCAGAAGAACACGCTGATGAACTGATATGCAGGATGAAAAGAGGAATCAGGTACGGCTCCCATGTTAAGGTTTCAACATCTGGATGATGACTCTCAATGGCATGAACTGCTATGGTGAAGAGTAGAGAGCAAGGGGTGGGAGAGATGAGATTAAGAGTCAAGAGTAACTTTCCTAATCCCTAAGAGATGAGTTTGGTAAACTGATCTTGATGGGTGCTGAAGCCCTTCTGACATGAAAGTATCCTATAAATTCTATGGCATTTACCCTGCCCCACCCCCATTCTCAAACCAGATCACTAGCCTGTATAATCATTGGCCCTTATGCATCTGGATCCTACCTTTTCTCTCATGGCCCATTTCCATGTGGCACTCCTCCCTCCCCATCATTTCTCTCCATTTCATACGAACCTATTATCTCAGATTTCTAAGTCCTCATCCCATCTCTTTGCCCATACTTCTTTTTCTTTCCTATACCTCTGGTTCTTGTCTATCTGTTCTACTTTCTCCCCTTCCTGTCCATACTAGGTCAAGGCTGAAATAATTCTAAGCATTTCAGTTGCCAAAAGGACATTTGCCAGTTTCCTTCCAGTTCCTTATTAGTAAGGTAATTTCTAGGAAGATGTGTCATCTTTGGACACTGTTAGAATTTGGCAATACAAACAATGACCAAACCCCATCTTCTGAGAATTCAGGTTTCTATAATTTTCAGAAGAAATCAGGTTACAGAGACAAGAAGTCCTCAAAATATGAATGTTTTACAGTTTAAAGTTGAGAAGCTAACTGGAATGTAGTTTCCACATGGTAACAAAACATTATAAAGGCTTAGTCTAACACATACTGCTCATCAATCTATACCCCTCATGTATTTGAAACAAGTACAGAGCCAGGAAAGGTTTCTGGAGCTGTGGGGGAGGGCCACATTAACAGTTCTCAATTCTCAATGCAAAATTCTGTTATTCCCCAGATGGTTGACACAGGGACTGCCTAAAACTTCAGAGTCCTTCCCATCCCTCTCTACCAAAAGGAACAAGGCCAACTCTGGAACCCTCCCAGAAAAACCACATAAGAATAAGATTAGTATAAAGGGGTGTTTTGCTCGAGCAGCTATTATTATCTATAATTTTTAAAACTTAGTCTTAAAGAAGTCAAGCTTTATCCAAGGTTTAGAAACTAAATAAGTATAAGAATCAGGGTTGGAAGACAGGTCTTATTCTGCATTATTCCATTGCCTTAGCACATCTTTAGTTCAGAAATTTCATATTACTTTTCAAAGATATTTCTTTTGGAACCAAACGCCAAATGCTTTCTCTGATACGGGGATGCTGATCCATAGGGGATGGGGGGGGGGTGCAAGGGAGGAATGGAGGAACTTTACATAGGGCAAAGGGGAGGGCGGGGAAGGGTGGGGGCAGGGGGACAGAAAAGATGTGGAATGAGATGGATATCATTACCCCAAGTACATGTATGAAGACACAAATAGTGTGACTCTACTTTGTGTACAACTGGGACAAGAAAAATTGTGCTCTGTATGTATACTATGAATTGAAATGCATTCTGCTGACATATATAACAAATCAGGATTTTAAAAAAGTTTTAAAAAGTTAAAAAAAAAGATATTTCTTTTGGGAACAGATTCCTACAGATATTATTTTTTTTTCTTTTTCCTAACAAGAGCTATTACTAAAAGTAAAAAAAAAAAGAAAGTCATCACAAATTTATTTAGCAGAAGGTCAGAAAAAAAACTGGCCAAAATAATTAGGAAAAAAAATATCAAAATTTCAAAGTTTCAAGTGGAAGTCTGACTTTTTGACACAGCAGTGCCACCATTTAAATGTCACCTCCTCTTTAAACTTCTAAATCAGAAAGATACTTTTGAGAAGAATTTCTCTGATAAGAAATAAGATTGTTTGAGACTAAACAGATATATACTCCTTCTATATAGAATAAGAAACCAAAATACCAAACAAATAAACCGAATTGGACAATACTGTCTTTTACATTCTGCTATGCAAAATTGCAACTTACCATATCTGTGCTAAAACAGGCTGAGGTAATCCAGATTGAAAAAAAAAGTTCCTTGCTTGATCACCTGTAAATTAAGTGAAAAAAGTTTCAGAAAAAACAAAAGTTGCTGGAATTCCACTCCTAGCAAAAAAATCACAAAAATAAGAGTGATAATCCTATAAATATTGAATTGAACATATGATAAAAGCCAAATGGTGAACCTATAAGCAACAGTAGAATGAAACCATCAGCACTAACCCAAAACCTGAAGGCTCTAAAAAATCATCTCAGAAAGGGCAACTATTTGCTGGGATAGGTTGTCCACTTTAATATGCTACTAAGAAGTTAGCTACCCCTTGTGAATACTCTAGACTGGATACTGAATGTCCCCCATAGGCCACTGTGTTAAAGGCTTAGTCATCAAGTTGGTCCTGGGGAAAAGGGGGGGTTGGAACCTTTTAAGAGGTTTGGCCAAGTGGGTGGTCTCAGATCATCAGGGGTGTGCCCCCAAATGGGATAAAGGGACCCAGCCCTTTTCCTTTCTTTTGTAGCAGGCCCTGAGGTGAACAGGTTTTTTCTATCAAACACTTTCACCATAAAGTACAGTGTCACTATTGGCCCAAATCAACAGTGCTACTCAGTCACAGAATGAAATCTCCAAAAATATGAGCCAAATAAACCTTTTCTTAAGTTGATTATCTCAGATATTTTGTTACAAATAATGGAAAGCTAACTAGCACAATGACAAAGCACATCTACAGATCTACAGGAATCCTTAGGAAACAACTGATGAGCCATTCTTCTACTTTATTTATTTATTTATTTATTTATTTATTTATATTTTTAGTCGTAGATGGACACAATACATTTATTTTGTTCATTTAGATTTTTTATTTGGTGCTGGGGATCAAACCCAGAGTCTTATGCGTGCTAGGCAAATGTTCCTCCACTGAGCCATAACCCCAGCCCGGATATTTCTACTTTATAAAACATTCTTTGCTACTCTCAATACCTAATGCTCCAAATTTGGGGTACTTCTTATATATTTATGGAAAATATAAAACAATTACATCAATTATGAAAATAAATTAGGGAGAGCTATGATACAAACACAAGCAAAAATATTTCCCCAGGAAATCCATAACCCATTTTTCCTAAAGTGAATTCCTGAAGAGTAATCAAACAGGAAAGATAGCAGAAAAGGCAACATATGAAAGGAACTTTAGAGAGATAGGAAAAGTCCCTTTTAAAAAATGTTCAGAATCTGTTAACAGTTTCCCAAACCAGCTCAGGATGAAAAGTGAGCAAGTGTTTCAGCTTTAGAGTCACAGTCTACCCCTCCCTTACTTAAAGAAAACAACCTGGTCCTTTGAAGGTAACCAGTTGCCATCAGTGATATGCCCCAGACAAGTAAGTGGCTTGATATGCACAAAGAATACAAACAAAGTTTGAATGGATAGGAGAAAAGCAATCATAAATTACAGGCTCACGGTTAATAGCAAAACAAGTCAACTGTCTCCTTGGTTATATGTGCCAACCTCTGGTTATATGTACATAATAGATTTCTACAAATATATGCACTAATGTCAAGTAAGACTATAAAAATAATGACTCCCATTACCAGTAATAAATCCAGATATCGGCTTTAAACTATGGAACTGCTGATCATGCTTCGCTCTTTCCTCAACAGTTATGGCCCAGATATCCAGGCTGCCTACAGGCCAAATAAAAGATAAGTTATTCAGTGAGAAAAACAAGATGCTCACACACACAATCCATAGCACTTTCACACACACACAATCCATAGCACTTCCAGGTTCTGTCAATGTGTAATAAATGGTTTGATAAAATAACATCTGCTTGTCTTTGGAAGGAATGTATATAAAGTTAGAAAATCTAAGGAAAGCAGAACCAAAACCAAATTGGCATAATTCATTTTTTTTAGTTGTAGATAGACACAATACCATTTTTATTTTTATGTGGAACCGAGAATTAAACCCAGTGCCTCACACATGATAGACAAGTGTTCTACCACTGAGCTACAAACCATAGCCACCACAAATTCCTTTTTTAGAAGCTTGTCTATAACCCTATAGTCAGGATTTATGAAGATAGTGAATTCATAATTCATTTACATATATCTAACCAACAGATTAATTAAAACTTAAAACTGCACCGCCAGGTGCCTTAAATGTTATAGTGAAAAGTTATGAAATAGGTAAATGTGTAAGGCCATGGGTTCAATCTCCAGGACCAAAAAAATACAGCATTTAACAATTTCCTAATAAGGTCAGGAAAAATTACCTGAAAACATATTTTATGCAGATTGTTATGTTTCAAATAGATAAACTAAAGTAAAATAAGTAAAAATATCACACTTCAAATTCAGGCTTTGAAAAAGTAGAGAATAAATGATCCAGATACTTCACCAAATAAATTGTAAAGAAAAAACAGGGACAGAGGGAAGAGTTCACAAACCAAGAGACTTAGGAGACAGATGAACTACCCTGCAACACAGGAACTTTATTTGGATCCAAATTTAAAAAACAACCTTAGCAAAAAAAAATATCAAGACTATTAGGGAAAGTAATTATAAATTTTATAGGTATGACAACGTAGTATATAAATTTTTATAAGTTTGATAATGGTATTATAGTTATGTCTTAAAAATGTTATCTTCTAGATAAACATCCTAAAATATTTATGGATGAAATAAAATGATGCCTGGGAGTTGCTACAAAAGAATCCAGATGAAACAATATTGGCCATGAGTTGATAATTATGGAAGCCATATGATGGAGTACATGAGGTCTGACTTATTATTCACTCTAATTTTGTCCCCCCTCCCCTTTTTATCCTTTAGCAGCACTGGGGAATTGAACCCAGGGCCTCACACATGCTAGACAAGAGCTGGCCAATTCACTCTACTTTTTTTTTTTTTTTCTGAAATCTTCTATTATAGATAGTAAGTTTTTAAAATCTGGCCCTGAAGTACATTAAAAAAGAGAAATTTCCAAAAACTTACCACCAAAAGGTGTTGGAAACTGAGCCATGGTTCTGTTACTTTTGCCTTGCTAATTGGGGCCTGTAATTGAAATGCAACAGTTACGTTTATGAAAAATTCACTCCTGTACACTTAATTATAAACACACTAATATATGGTCTTTATCAGAAGACAACACTAGAACTGGAGTATGGCTCTACAAATCAAAGTTACAATGAAAGGGTTTCATCCTTTTATTCTCTGAATAGACTCAGTGTCAGATATAGTGATAGACACAGGAATGCCTATTGAGACTGGCAACTTGAAGCTATCAGAGGCGAGTAATACCATTACCATAGGACAGCCTATTGTATCATTAGTGCTATAAATGTTACTTTTTAGGTTTTCTTTTTCTCCCCTCAACTGTCTAGATACACCACTCCATCAGTTTGATGGTTACAGTAGCTTATTATTGAGCACTTGTTGTAAATTGTACATTGTAGTAGGTGTTTTATAGGTCTTATGCTCCACTCACTGTCATCCCAACTCTGTGAGATAGGTACTATTACCACCATCCCCATATTACAGATGAGGAAAATGAGAACAAGAAAGGAAAGTTGTTATGGTTTGTATATGAGGAGTCCCCTAAAAGCTCCTGTGTTAATGCAGGAATATTTGAAGATTAAGTAGTTGGATTATGAGAGCCATAACATAATCAGTCCATCCTAATTTGAATGGACTGATTGGGTGGTAACCGTAGGCAGAAGGGGCATGGTTGGAGGTGTCACTTGGAAGGGTCTCATTTTCCCTATGTCCTCTCTCTACTTCCTGACTACCACAGAGGGGAGCAGCTTCCCTCCACCATACCCTTCCGCCAGGATGTTCTGCTTCACTTTGGGCCCAGGGGAATGAACTTGGCTGAATATGGACTGAATCTCTGGAGCTGTGAGCCAAAATAAATATCCCCTTTTCTAAGTTATTCTTGTCAGGTAGTTTGGTCACAGTGACACAAAGCTGACTAACATAGAAGTAATTACAGCAATACCATACATTTGGTGACAATGCTGGGATTTGAGCAAAGGCAATTAACTTCACAGCCTGTTTCACCTACGAAAAACATTCTCTGAATTGCTGTTTAAAGATTATGAGAAAGGAGTAAACAATACATACTCCACGAATGTTTGCTCAGAATACAAACAGGTATCTAATGCTCCAAAACTTCCCATTAGACATTACTAATCATGAACAGAGATATGAAACAAAGACAGTCCACTTTCCTAACTTTAAAAAAAATGCAGATTTAATGAATATTTTTTCCTTACACTTTAGTTTAACATAGTAAATGCACAAAGTTGAAAAAAAGACTACCAAATACTCAGATTAAAAAATTTTAGGTAAATTTAGATCTAAAAACATAAGAATCACATGTACCAATATACTCTGATTTCAATTTTCAATATGTTCATGAAATTTCCCCCCACTATTATACTTTCAAATTTCCAAAAGCTCCTTCTCATTCTTGACTCTATTCCTAGTACTTTCTCTATTTTTAAAATTTTTAACTGATTATTTGGTTCATTTTGTTTCTTAATTTTCATTCATTTCGTGAATCATTCATTTCCTCCAAGTTCCTTTTTTGTTTGTTGGCAGGCTAACTGATTAGGTGTCCTTCACTTTTGAGGATTTCATCACAATCCAATGATCCTTGGATGCTCCTTCATTTTTTATTTACATATGACAGCAGAATGCATCACAATTCTTATTACACATATAGAGCACAATTTTTCATATATCTGGTTGTATACAAAGTATATTCCCCCCAATTCATGTCTTTATACATGTACTTTGGATAATAATGATCATCACATGCCACCATTATTTATAACCCCATGCCTCCTCCTTTCCCCTCCAACAACTGGACAGTCCTTCATTTTTAGAGTGAGGCACTAACTCAGATGCTTGGCTCAGGAGGAAGGCATGTTGACTGATGGCTGCTCCATACGATGACCAGGGGCACAGAGTTGCCTTTTCACTGGGAGACCTCCCAATGCTAGTATTCACTGAAGCAGCCTGCCTTTGCCAGAAAAAGTGTTGGGTGGGATGAGAAGAGTACAGCATCATCTAAATGCTGGCCTGGGGAGAGAGAAGGTGAGGCTCCTACACTACAGAGTGCAGATGTCAGCCTCTTGCTTCACCCCTCTATCCTGGAGCTTCTCTGATACCAGCATCTTTCCCACCTCCCCAGAAAAAAGGAGACTGAAGCAGTCCCTTTTCTGCAAGGGGTATAGAACATTATGGTCCAAAAAAATCTGAATGAGACATTTAAAGAGTTCCCATTTTAAGCTGCTGCCTTTGGGAATACCTGGCATGTCCAAGCAAGTGGAAGCCTCTCAAGACACCCTGGGGCAAGCCAGCACTCTAGCTCCTCTTTGTTGACTCCTGTAGGGAGTTAATTTCTATCCTCCTCTGTGAACTCTCTTACCAACTCCTTCATTCCCTTATGTTTTACAAAATACTGCTAAAATCTTTTGTCCAGATTTTCTCTACTGTTATCTTATGCCATCATATCTTATCTTCTACTGTTCCTGAGTTAGCATCTATTGTGCCTCCTGTATGATTGTGGCAACCTTTAAAGAAGAAGGAAGAACATGTCATCAGCCCACCATAGTTAGATGGGTACCTGAGAATTCAGTTTTGAACAGGATTACTTCTTATGACAAGTCCCTTAGAAGCTGCAGGTGCTGACCTCTTCCTTCACTGCTTTTCACTCCATATATTATATAGGCAGGTAAAATTACCTGGTAATTTTCTAAAACTTATTTTTGGGGCGAGGGGTGCGCCAGGGATTGAACTCAGGGGCATTAGACCACTAAGCGACATCCTCAGCCCTACTTTTTGTATTTTAGAGACAGGGTCTCAACTGAATTGTTTAGCACCTCTCTTTTTGCTGAGGCTGGCTTTGAACTAAAGATCCTTTTATCTCAGCCTCCTGAGCCACTGGGATTACAAGTATGTGCCACCATGCCCAGCTCCAAAACTTTTTAATGCATTTTATCTCACTCAGTCCTCTTAAAATTCTTTCAAAACTGACCTACCATACACCTTTTTATTGAGCATTCAAAAAATGAAAAGCCCCAAATTTTTAAATCATACTAAAACAAATATTCAAAATACAGAAGAGGAAAATGCATTCTGTTCATGTTCATTCTGGTTTACTTCAATTCTTCATTGTTCATGCAAAATACAAAAAAAGTTATTGATTTCTTTGTACCCAGTCAAGTTATACTTTATCCATATTTTCTTACTGGTGCTAATCCATCTAGCAGGTGAATCTCTTGAAAGATTTTAGCCTTATATTATTAGTTCAAAGTGATACAATCAAGCTATAAAAAAAATTGTAATAGCAGTAATTCTGATATTGTCTCTGATTCTTGTGGTGATAGTTTTCAGTACTTTGTATTTTAATAAGTTTATTTTTAGCTGTATTTTGGTAGTCTTTAGGGTGTTTAGGTAGTTTCCTTCTATTCCTATTTTACTTAACATTTTTATTAATTAACAGCTGGGGGGTGAGTGCTGGGGTTGGAACCTAAGGCCTTGGGCATGCTAGGCAAGTACTCTACCACATCCCCAGTCCCTTCTTTTCTTTCTTTCTCTTTTTTTGAGATAGGATCTTGCTAAATTGCCCAAGATTCTTCTGCCTCAGACTCCCAAGTAGCTGGGATCACAGACTTGTGCCAGCTTAAATATTCTTTTCAGAAGATTTTCTTCTTAAAATCTAAAATAATCATGTATTTTTCCTTTAATTAACATCCTAAATTATAGTGATGTATTACCTAATATTAAATTATCCTAGGTTTAATTTGCTAATATTTTCTATAGAATTACTGCTTGAAAAGATGCTATGCTTAATTCTATGCAATAAAGTTGCAAATATAGAGGGAATGGATACACTTCTACTTCCCTATAAATTTCTAAAAGTAACCTTTAAAAAGGTAAGAAACAATAATGCACCACAGATATAATGGAAATATAAAAACATAAAATTAAAAAGGAATAAGAAAAAAATTATTTTGGAAGTGAGTTTGAACTCACCTTCTAGGAACAAATATAACCTGTTACCAAAAACGATTCACAGAAAAAGGTCAAACACTTCTCAATTTATTTTACGAAGCTAGCATTCTCTTAATTCTAAGTTATGATAATGAAAGCATTAAAAAATAGGCCATTCTAACTGATTGAGAGGGTCATAACTAGACATAAGTATAACAACTTATGACTTGAAGTATACTTGAATTATCATCAGTTCCTGCAAAGCACCGAAGATGATTTGCTGTTTACCATCCTACACTGGTATTTAGGAAACAACTACCTGTCCTATGTGAATCTCTTCCCTCAAAGCCTTCGCCTTATGACCAACATTAGACTATATTTATCTTTTGGTCCTTCTGACAGCTATCTCTACTTCCCCTGCATCTTACATCTGTTAAGTGACAAGCAAATGGACTGCAGAGTCCACCCTGCACTTGCCACTAGTGTTACTGTACCTTTCTCTTGCTTCCCCTCTCTAACTCAAGCCCTATTCCTTTAGAGTCAGTGGTCTGGCTATTAGTTAGAACCTAATAAGAGCGAAATCACTCACAGGTATGGAAGAAGGTGTGCCTTCCAGGCTTACCTACTCACAGACAGCCAAATGCTGCTGAAGCATGAGGATTAAATATCCCCACTTATCTTCCTTCTGCCCCCAGGTCCTTCCAATGCCATCCACAGCTGGGTCCTCCCACAACTCCCAGGGAACCCCAGACAAAAGTAGCAACATGTAGAGGAAGAACTGAGTTAAGGCCTGGAGATATAGCTCAGCTGGTAGAGTGCTTGCACTCGGCCCTAGGTTCAATCCCCAGCACCATAAAAGAAAAAAAAAAAAAAAAAAAACTGAGTCAAATCTTCCAAATCTTTCTCCTTTTCAGTTCTATGCTACCTGGATAAAACATGGTGATAACAACAAGGCTTAAAATGTTTTGTTCCTATTTTTACATATATTTACAACCTGCATTACTATAATTTAAAAAATAATTTGTGAAGGGCCACTATATTCTAGAAAAATA